AAGATAATAAAATTACACATAACATTTCTAAATAATACTTGACAAATAACAATAATCAAAAATCTGAAAAACTTAATGTTTTCCACTTTTATTTCTGATAATATATTAGAAGAAGAACTATCTAATTCTCTCTTAATATAAAATTAGTATAAAGTATAAATCAAACATATTAAAAATTTGAAATAATTGTCTCTCAATAATAACAACGAAATGGAATATATATTTATTAACTGATCTTTTTAATATCAAAAAATAGCTTAAAAACTGAAGAAAATGCTTTTTTCAAATGATATTATTTTAGTAATAGAAATAAATTATTTTATGAATTGAACATTATACACTCAATTATTTATTTAATATCAAAAGAAGGTAATGTCTAAAAACTATTTGATATAAATTTCAAATAATAAACGAAATAAAAATGAAAGATTTAAAAATATTTGTTAAAAATTCTTTTTTTAAAACAATAAAAAAGAAAATTTATTTCTTCCAAAAAGCCAAACGAGATTTCTTTGGTTGAGTATTGATATGAGACTCTTCAATGTCTTGTTGTTGTTTTAAATTAGCAAGACGTACTTTCAATTGAGCAACTTCCATTTCAAGACCATCTTGTTGTGCTTTTTCCAATTCAATTTTTCTATTTAAATCAACACAAATATCTTCTCCACTTTGAACATATTTATTTGAAGTAGTAATATTTATAGTATGTAATTCATCTTCAGCAATAACATCACATTCACTCATTTGAACACTAAATTCAAATCCATGATATTTTTCTTTAAAGAAATCAATAACTTTTAATTTAACATTTAATTCATCATCATTTTCAGGTTTTAATTCTGTGTCTTCTTCTTTATCTTCATTATTTAATTTTTCGTCTTTAGACTTTCCTTCACTAACTTGTTTAAAAGTATCTTTTCCAAATACCCCCAATTTTTTTAATTTAACTTGAACTCCATATAATTTAATATCCATTGAAATATTTTTAGTAGTTTTAATTTTAGAACTTATATGATTTAAAGTTAAAATTAATGATGGAGTTGTTTGAGGTAATTGTTGAAATAAAAATCCTTTTTCCATTTTCTTTTTTGAAATAGATTCTAATGGTTCTAATATATTTTCAACACTTCCTGTTCCAATTTCATCAATAATTATTCCAAAAGTTCTTCCAGTTTCATTACTAACAAACATAATATCTAATTCTGATCTTACAATTTCAGTTAATTTCGAGCAGTCATGTTCTTTATTTCTATAAACAATTGAACTAATAGGAACAATAACTTTTCCTTTACCAAATGATAATAATACAGCAATTGTTGGAAATTGAATATTTTTAAGTTCATTATTAACAAATTCAATAGATTTATCAGTAATTTTATTTGCATTTTCAGTGACAGTAGTTCCAATTTGTTTACTAATATCTTTAAGTCTATCTTTTTCAGTTTCTTGAAATCCGTTAATAAAATCTTTAATATAATTATAAATATCTAAAAACATTTGATGTGATAATGTAATTTCAAGGTCATCTGATTTACCATAACAATAAATAATTGAAGGTATTCCTTTATTATTTTCTTTATCAAATATTAAATTAAATTGTACTTCAAATACATCTCCATAAAATACTCTATCTTTTTTGTCATTAATTACTCCAAATGCTTCAACATTTTTAATTAAAATAGAAATATCTAATGAAACAGGTTCTTTAACTTCTGTTGCTTTATATTCTTTTTTTAATTTTTCATTACAAATTTCAAGTGTAGTTAAATTATGTTTAATTGGTTTATTATTTAATTTAAGATTTCCTAAAGTAATAGTAAATATTGAATTACTTTGAAATTTTACTGTAAATAATGAATTGTTTAATTCAAATGAAAAATATACTTTTCCTAATAAATCAATAATTGATTTTAATTGGAAATATTGAAGTAATCTTTCATATTTTGAACTAAAAAGTTCTTTTTTCTTTTCTGTTTTTTCTTTTAATATTTCTAATTGATTTGTATTAACATTAATTTTTGTTAAATTCTTTTGCATTGTAATTTTTAATAAATCAATCATTTTTGATAATAATTTAAAGTCCATTGTTATTCCAAGTCCATTACATTTTAAATCAACATCAATTCCAATTATTCCTTTAGCTTCAATACCTTCTTTAGCAATTCCTTTTGTTACATTTAATTGAATTGCATTTCCTTCTTTAATTGTCCAAACAATTTTATTAATTTCTTCTTTTAAAATATATTGAACTTCAAACTCTCCAACACTAAATATTGTTTTTCCAAAATACATACAAAGCTCTTCATTATATTTAATTTTATCCATTTCAAATATAATTTTACCAATATTAATATGAATATCTCCATCTAATAAATCTTTTAATATAATATTTAATTTATTTATATTTAAACAAATTGAACTACTTTGATTATGATGTTCAATTGTTTGAGAACTAAATATTGATGTTATTATTTTTCTAATACAATTTGCTATATTTTTATACGTTTCTCCTGTACAAATTATACAAATTTCTTCTGCTATCCATTTTTGATCAACACAAATAACATGTCCATTTTGATCTCTTTTAAAAGACATATTTAATTGAATTTTAATATCCTTAATAAATTCTTCTGAAATATCATCATTTTCTATAATAATACTAAATTTATTAAAGAAAATATTTAATGTATCATTCTTTGTTTCTGTATTAATATCATTCATTTTCATTTTTAATATAGCATTTCCAATTGTAATTTTACAATTTATTTGATTAATTCTAAATTGAAGATATGGAAGTAAATATTCAATCTTTTCATTTGATGTTTCATATTCTTCATGTGTCTTTAATGATAAAAAATAATTAATTTCTTTAATTTCAATTTCAAATGGACACTTTTCATTAATTTGTTTAGGTACATTAATTTTCATTTCTGGAATTTCAAATCTATCAATTGTTATAGTCCTTGGGTATTGAAAATATCTTGATATACATTTAGGGTCTATAATAATATGTTTAATAATAACTTGGTTTTCATAAATTTCTGATTCTTCATGAGAAAGAGATAAGAGATGAATAGCTTTAATAAAGTCTTGAACTGAAGGCATATGAATGGAATATTTATTTTTAGTTTTATTATTATTTTTTTTTATTTTACATTACTTTTTATTAAAAGTTATTATAAAATAATTAATTAATAATTAAATAAAAGAAGAATACAAAATCAATCAATTTTATTATCACGAAAGTGATTCATTTAAAAAAAAGAGTTCAACACACATTAACAGAAATGATAATTTTTCTTCATAAAAGCATATATTAATTCTAAGAAATCATCTAACGTTAATTGAGCTGCTCGTGATTTTGCTCTTCCACTTTCTTCAAGTATTTGAAGAACATCTGCTTTAACATCAAGATTTTCATCAATTGGAATATTACGAATTTTTGCAATAATTCTTAAATTCTTTTCCATTACTTCAAGAACAGAACTTATTCTAAATAAACTACTTAATGTTTTATGTTTTCTTAAGAAACAAATTCTTAAGAACCCATCAAATTCTACTAAATTTAGGGGTGGTGCTGGTTTAACTGGAATCATTCTAACAACACTTGACTCAACTTTAGGTGGTGGTTTAAAATTGTTTCTTCCAACTTTCATCACATGAAATACATCTGCAAGAAGTTGAGTATTAACTGATAATCTACAATATAATGGATCACCTGGTTTAGCCACTAACCTCATAGCGAATTCTCTTTGAAACATTAATACAGCTGATCTAAATTGTGGTCTATGATTAAGTAATTTAAATACTAATGGACTTGAAATAGAATAAGGTGTATTTGATACACATACATCAAAATATGGTAGTTCAACTTTTAAGAAATCTCCTTGAATAATTTCTAATTTTTTTACATAATCAGTAACTGAAACTCTCTTCTTTAATTCAGCTGCCATACGTGGATCAATTTCAATTGCAATTAACTTTTTACAAAATGGAAGCATTTTCATTGTTAAATTTCCTGTTCCTGGTCCAATTTCTAATACAACATCTGTTCTTCTTAATTCAGCTGCATCAACTATTTGTTGTGCAATCATTGGATTCTTTAAAATGTGTTGTCCCTCTGATTTATGAAATTGGAATATGTTGGTTCCAACAGGTTCTGCCATAATATACTTTCAATAGTTAAAAGGGTTTTTTTGTTATAGGGTTTTAATTAAATTTAATTAAACAACATCATCACTTCTTGTTAGATAAAACAATCAATAGAAATCAATTAAAATCAAGAAAAGTTGATAAAATCACTCATAAAACATTATTATTATTCAATTCTTTATATTATTTTTCTTTTTAAACCTAAAAAACCTTTATCTTTGAATTAATTCATTTGATTATTTATTTAAATTTTCATTATTTTGCCAATGTTTAATACTAAAAGTAGTATTATTAACTCTTCTAACACATATTCTGTATTAACAGAAATTTATTCTTTCATTATCTCTTCTTTAAAAACAAAATCATTTATATCTCTTTTAAAGAAAAGTTAGTACAACTTGATAATGTCTTCAATTATATCGTGATTTCCTCCTTTAAAGAAAGCACTGCTAATTGAAATATTTTCTTGCATTGCGGCGAAGATAAATAAATAAGTATTTATCAAAAAAAGCAATGCTAATAACTTCGTTATTTTTTTTTTCGATGAACTCTTTAAATAGAACCCTCAATACTATATTTTTATTATATAAAAACTATAATACGTTTAATAGTTATAAGTATTATTAAAGTACTATTCATTTATCTGGTTTAAAACTTCAACAACTATTCCTTCTTTTTTTTTTTTAATAGTTTTTAATGATGGAATTAATATTTGAAAGAGTAATGGAAGAAGGGACTTTTCTAATTCTGAACAATAAAAGAAAAACAAAATGTTGAGAAGATAAAAAGATAATTAAAAAAAAAAAGAAAAATTAAAAAAGAAAAGAGAAAATACTCATTGAATTTGAATGGATCAATCAAACAAGAGACAATTAGCTAAAGTTTTTAAGCTAAATAATAATGAATGGGAAGAACATGGAACAGGTGTATTTAAACAATTCATAAATGGTAATTGTGTTCATATTGAAATTACCTCTGAGGGGAAATCAATAATTAAAGTTATAATGGGAGAAGGTGATGCCTTTGAAAAACAAAATGATCGAGTAGTTCAAATACAAGGGAAGTCATTTGAGAATGAATATGCATTAAGTTTTATTGATAAAACATTATGTTCTACATTATGTAATGCTTTACTTCAAGTAAAAGCAAGAAAAGTGAGTGATTCTGATATAGAGAGTTTGTTAATATAAAACAAGAATATAAGCGTCATATTTGAGTGATACTTATTAATTAGAATTAGAATGTAATGAAACAAATATTTTTCAATTAAGAGACCTTGCATATAAAGCTATGAGTACAAGAAATCCTTCTGAGTTATTGAGTAAAATAAATCCAAAAGAAATTGCTCAAGGATTGGTTCAAATATCAAAAACAATAAATGAATCGACTTCCAAAGAATTTATGACTTGTGTCTTTATTTTCGTAAAAGCATTATTGTTTATTTCTGATAATCAATTAATGGAAGAACTATATAAACTATCTGTATTAAAATCATTATTTGTTATCCTTTCATATGATCCATTATTTCTTTCTAATAATCGTCCAAATTTCTTAGAAGAGTTTTACTCTTGTATAAATAATATGAAAGAAGTTATTGAACAAACTGAAACATTAACACAATTAATAGAATACTCATTTGCTTTAGTTTATTTCCGTGATGTTGTTATTGCCAGATTTTCTGATGAAACAGTATGTGCACCTATAACTCTTAGAATTGATATCCTCAATAAAAAAATCCTCATTGAAACTATTAATAATAAGTCTATAGAAAAATTATTAGAATTATATGATTCATCTCTTAATCAAATGAAACGTGGGATTTGTATTACTGTCAAAAAAATGTGTAATCATCTTTTACTTTTTACTCTCCCTTTAAGAGAAGAATATGCTAAATCAATGATTGATCAAGGATTAATTAAAATAATAAAAAAGGGACTTCTTGATGATAATAAATCATTCTGTTTAGAAGCATTAAATTCTTTATTTCAATGTAGTACATCCATTGGATTATTACTTATAAAAGATGAAATACTTCAATTAATTGCAAAAACAATACTCACTTCTTCAACATCGTTTTATTATGGTGCATTTCAAATATTAATTGATATATTAGATGTTACTGATGGAAATGTTACGTTCGAAAGAGAAATGATTAATACCATGATACCATCTGTAATAGACATACTCATTCAACCATTAAATGATACTAGCCCAATTCAATTAACAAATTATAATTCTTATATTTCTCATATTAGTTCTTTAGTATATCACTTATCTTGTTCAACAGCAATATCAGTAAAACCATATATTATTCAATGTGGAATATTTAATAAAATACTTCAAAAATTACCTACTCTAACACACTCTTCACAAGCTTCAGTATTACAATCATTAAGAAATATTATTCGATTGAATAACCAAGATTATACTACTCAACTTCTTGATGCTGGAATGATTGAAATTGTTAAAGAAATGATACCATCAATGAGTGGAATGACTCTTCCTATTGCATGTGAGATTATTGATTCATTCAAAAATAGAATGAGCATTCTCCCTCTCTCTTCTTCTTCTTCAGTTCCAACTCCAGAAGTTACAAACGGAGTCCAAGATTTGGCTCAACTATCTCTTCCTTCTCCATTAAAAAGACCAGTTGATATCGAAAATACAATGAAAATGATGGAAATAGATTCCCCATCAAAAAGAAGAGTAATGACTCCAATATTTTCACAATAGCTTCTTTTGTTCAATATCTCAACATTTAAATGATAATAACAAAATTTTATTGTTCTGTTATTTATATTTACATTATATATAACATTTAAAATAACAACAACAAAAAAATAAACCAGAAAAAAATTATAAAAGAATTAAAAAAGAATAGAAAAACTGAGAATAAACCCTAAGAACTTTAAAAATAGCAATCTTGGTGTGTAATCATGAAGGTTTGTTAATTATGTTCTTGAGAATTTCGTGATGAAAAGACAAATACTTATATACAGATTAACGTAGCCAACCCAGCAACTGGAAGAATTAAGAAATTTGATTTTGAAGAAGAAAAGAATTACAGACCGTTCCTTGATAAGAGAATTGGACAAGAAGTTGATGCTTCATCACTTGGAGACGAATTCAAAGGATACATCCTTAAAATCACTGGTGGATGTGATAAGGATGGTTTCCCAATGATGACAGGAGTAGCTACTAACAATCGTGTCAGACTTCTTCTTGATGGAAGAAATGGATGTTATAAACCACTTAGAAATGGAGAAAGAAGAAGAAAGACAGTTAGAGGAGCTATTGTTGCAGGAGACATTTCAGTATTGAACACTATCGTAGTTAAGAAAGGAGAAGGAGAAATTGAAGGAGTTACTAATGATGCACTCCCAATGAGAGCTGGACCAAAGAGAGCATCTCATATCAGAAAACTCTTCAATCTCTCTCAAAAGGATGATGTTAAAAAATTCGTTATTAGAAGAGAAGTTGCTAAAAAACATCCAAAAGAAGGAAAATCAACAAAAAGATCTAAAGCTCCTAAGATTCAAAGACTTGTTACTCCAAGAAGACTTCAACATAAGGCTCAAAAATTAGAAGCTAAGAAATTACATAAAATTGCTATGCTCAAGGAAGCTAAACGTTATGCTGCTATTCTTAATAGATACAAGGTTCTTAAAGCACATGGAATGAAAGTTGTCTCATTTGCTGATACTGATGCTGTTTTCAAACAAAACAAAGCTGGTTCAAAGAAAGCTGCTTCTAAGGGAAAGAAAGTTGGCTCCAAGAAAACTGGAAAGAAATAAATTGATCTTTTCTACTGTTACGATAATTTTTTTTTGAATTTCATACAATTAATTTTTGTTATTGTTTTAATAAAATTGAAGTTTATAAAAACAAAAGGTTAAGTTTTTATTTTAATCAAATACTTTGCTTTTAAGATGGTATTTGTTTATAGCAATGCACAAGTCAATCACTTTTTTTAGAGAAGTGAGCAAACACTTTGAGACCAACGTCACAAAAAAGTACAAAAATGTTTGAGTCATCCAACAAAAACCTCAAGAACCATAATCAAAAATAGGTTAAACATGAAAGTAATGAACCTTTATTATAAATTACTTAGCAGCTTCTTCAGCCTTACGCTTAAGGGCTTCTTCTTGTTTTTGTCTCATAAGAGCAGCATCACGTTCTCTTCTTTGACCTAATGAAAGGTCTTCAGTATTTCCATGTTTCTTTTTTGCTTCTTCTTTAATTCTTTTTTCACGAGACTTATCTCTTTGATTTCCTCTTGCCATTTCTGGGAGAAATTATTTAATTGTTACTTTTTAATTCTCTTTTTATATTCCAATTTGATGTCTCTGTTTTTAATATTTTATGTCAGTTTTATTATTATTGATTTGGTTCCACGTAATTCATATTTGGCTTTTTTGTTTTTTATCATTGAAATGTTAACTTTCTAATTAATGAATGAAAAATTTATTTATTTTCTTTATTCATCATCTTCATCATCGTCTTCGTCTTCATCATCATCTTCATCATCATCATCTTCATCATCGTCTTCGTCTTCATCATCATCTTCATCATCATCATCTTCATCATCGTCTTCATCATCATCATCATCTTCATCTTCATCGTCTTCTTCTTCATCATCGTCTTCTTCATCTTCTTCTAACTCAAAGTCATCATCATCGTCGTAGTCAAAATCATCATCTTCAAGATCATACTCTTCATCTTCATCATCGTCTTCATCATCGTCTTCATCATCGTCTTCATCATCGTCTTCATCATCGTCTTCATCATCGTCTTCATCATCGTCTTCATCATCGTCTTCATCATCGTCTTCATCATCGTCTTCATCATCGTCTTCATCATCGTCTTCATCATCGTCTTCATCATCGTCTTCATCATCGTCTTCATCATCGTCTTCATCATCGTCTTCATCATCGTCTTCATCATCATCATCATCATATTCTTCGTCGTCATCATCATATTCTTCGTCGTCATTGTCTTCAATATTTAACTCATCATTATTTTCTGTTTCTTTGTTGTCAAGAGTTGCATCTTCTTCAACAGCAAAGGCTAAAGTCAAAAACATAGCAATAAGAATATAAAAAATAGCTTTCATGAAAATAGTAATTTTAGTTCCTTTTTGGTTGTTTAAATAATATATAACTAAAAATTAAATTTAAGATCTACCACAAACTCAGCAATAATTTTTTGATGAATAAATAATATTAGTTTTATTTAGTTTAATTCTTTTTTATTAATCATTTTATTTTGAGTTTGTTTTTAAACGTAAATTGACGTATAAATATTGGAAATGGGAAATGAGCTATTGTCCTGTGTCATAATCATCATTTTATATGAAATAAATGAGCGAGTAAATAAAGTTTTTCACATTAGAAAATAGGTTGTGAATAAAATGGAGAAAAATAGTAATATTTAAGTGATAAGAAGTAATTCCAATCTCTACTTTAAAAAGCAAAACTTAATTTTTCGACTGAATAAGAAATTTATTGTATTAAAGAAGAGATAAAAATAAAATCATTTATTCTAAAAAAATTGTTATTAATCAAAAACATTTATTAATTAAAAGAAATAATATTATATTTTGTTTTTCTTATTAAGTCAAATATATAAAAATTATAATGTCATTTATTTTTTTTTTTTTTTTGATTTATCAATTACAAATAACATAATCTAGAATTTTGTAATTTCAAGTTTCAAAATTTATTATTTCAATTATATTTTTAGTTGTTTTTTTGTAAGTGTTTTATGTTTTGTGTTTTATATATCTTATATGTAAGTCATTAAAGTGAAAGTTTTATATTACAGGTTGATTAAAATTTTAATTATTATGTAAACTTTCAAAAAGTGTAAGTGTTGGTTAAGAGATAAATAACAATAATTGAAGTTATTTTTTATAAAGCTAACACACAAAACAATTTCTATTTTGTTTTTTTATTGAAGATTTTTTTATTTTTGAATTGATTGGTTAAAATTAATTATTATTTTCTTTTTTGTATCAATATTGTTTAAAAAAAATCTTTATAAATTCCATAAAATACCTCAAATTATCTACTTTCTGTTTAATGTGTTTTTCTTCATTTCTTTAACTACCAACGAAACTATCCAGGCATAAATAACAATACTTTTGTTGTACTTTTTTCATTAAAACTAACATTCAACTCTTAATCTTAAAAACTCAAATTTTAAAAGAATAAAGAAAAAAAAAATAGGGTAAACTAAACAGGGTTTAAAAAAATGAATTACCTTTTAAAAGAACTGTTTAATAAATAAAAAAGTTATTAGAAAAATGTCTACTGAGCAAACTGTCCCAGTAGTTAATATTAATAAAGATAACTCAGTTCCTCAGGCAGACACTACTAAACCCTCATGGAGTGAAATGATTGTTGAAACTAAAGTTGAAGCAAAAACACCAAATGTTATTAAAGAAGAACACAAACCAACTGGAAGTACTCAATTTTATAAAGACAAATATAATGAGAGTGATTGGGTATTAATGTTTTATAATCCAACAGCTCCATTAGAACAATGGATGGTTAAAGATCTTCTTGAAACTATTGATGTTCGAGCAAGAGGTATTAGACAAGGAAAAACAGGAAAATGTTATGCTGATTTTGAAGATGAAGAAACATGGAAAAATGTTAAAGCATTAAGTGGAGAATGTGTTGGAGATGTTACTATTTTAGTTGATGATGTTCCACCAAGAAGTGATGCACCAAAGAATTCGTTTAACAAAGGACAACATCAAGGAAAGAATTCATTTGGAGTTCATAAGAAACGGGAGACATTTGCTAAGAAACAACAACACTCACAAAAAAAGTCTAATGAAAAAGAAGGAGTTAAAACAGAGAAAACTAAAAAAGTAAAGAAAGCAGAACCAGCAGTTGTATTAGATGAAACTGATAAAGAAGAAGGTTGGGAACTTTCAGATGGACCTGTCAAAGCTATAAAACCAAAGAAGAAAGCAAAGAAACAAATTGATGGTATTGCTAGTACAAAGAATTACTTTGAAGGCATTTAAAGAAATTTTGTTTACTATTTATTTTCATTAGATATTTTTATTTTCATTTTTATTAATAATTATTAATATAATATTATTATATGGATTTATTATTGTTTTATTGGTGCTTTTGGAATAAAAATTAACATAAAAGAATAATAAATGACTCTGTTTAGTTTATTTTCTTACAATGAAATACGCTAGTACAATAATCATTATAATAAATGTAACTAACACAACACTCCAGTCAAAAAATATTGACTCGGATAATAATACAAAAACTCCTGGCATTGCATATGGAACAACTACTTCTTCTTGTTTATGATTATTTGATGAAGTTCTTTGATTGTTTCCAGTTGTTTGTGTTGGAAATAAATTGTATGATTGTGCTGGTGGTGCTTGTCTAAAGGTATTGGGTTGTTGAGATTCATCTTCTTCAACAAGAACACCATTAATAATCCTCATTTTCTTTTTTCCTTGTTGCACTGTTGCCATTCTTTTCTTTCTTTTTCTTTTTAAGTTTTATTTTTCAAAAAATCTTCATTTGGTTAAGTTTAATGAAACAACAACTCATTCAATTAACTTACCCTTTCCAATAATTATCTTTCTTTTTTACATTTATTTTATTCTTAATATCAGATCTGTTAGTCTTGATAGTTTAGTTGCCTTTTTACTATTAATTTGTGGTATTCTTTTAATATACGTAGTATGTCTTGAATTGTAATACTTGTTTGTTTCAATTAAATGTGGTTCAGTGTTTTAAACTTATTGTTAGTTGTATAAAAACAAATTCTATCTCTTTTTCTTCATCTGCATGGTTATGTGATAATGATTTGTTTGATTCTATTGGTTATTCTTATGTTTGAATATCATGCATGAGTTTAATGTAGCCTTTCGTTTAGAATATTGTTAAAACATTTAAGTAGTCTTTGTACTAACTGTTCAATACTACTTGAGGATATAGAAATATTTTAAATCATTTTCTCTAATACTTATAATGATTTAATATTACTTTTCTTCTGAAATAAATGTTTTAATGTATTTATCTATCATATTAGTATCTAGTTTAACCATATCCTTATTCTAGCACAAAGACTATCTTTTTGTATCATCAGTTGTACTTGAATAAAAGTAAGTAGTTAGTTTCTCTTCTATGATATTTTAAAGTAATAGTTTGATTCAGTTCTAGAATTTTACCTTGTAAAGATTTACTTTTCTCTTTTGTTATTCATTTTATTTCATTGATATTGTTCTGTTTATTTATGACAGAGTTGTATAAAAACAAAAATAAATCTTTCATCTTAATCAACAAGTGATTTTTCAATGGTTTTATTTGAATTGTTATATTTTAATTTTCTTGTATTTATTTAGTAATTCAAAACATTGTACCTAAATTAATGATTAAACAGAACAATATGTTATCATTTACTTTGTGTTGATATTGTAGGTTAGGCAAATAGGAATTGAATAATTAAAGAGTATTTAAACATTATGTTATTTTTCATTCATACTTAACATGATGAAAATATATTAAAAATATAATGTTATTATATCAATTGATTTTCAAATATTAATACAGAACTATATAATTTTATTTTAAATGTGTTTATAATTCATTTCAATAAAACCATTAATATATAGAATGATGAATAATATAAAAATAGATAAACAATTGAAATGAATGATAATATTCAAAGTAATACAAACATCTGATTTAAAATATAAAATTGATTAACAAATAACGTAAAATGAATAAGATACAGACATCATTAATACTACTTAAATAATACGGTTGCTTATCAAAAAATTCAAATAGTAACACAACATTTATTCTCTTTTAATATTATATCATTGGTGTGTATTAAACTAAAAAGGATTTTATAATATTTATCTTATTTCATTGGATTTATTATTAAAACGTCAATTAAATTATTTAATTACACAAATTGTGTATTTCTTTATTATCTGCATTTTAATATCAATAAATATAATAATAATATTAAATTTTATAATCTAATGAACGAGATTATGAGATAAAGAAACAAAAATAAATAAGAAGAATTGAATGAATAAATTCATAGAAATTATTGTATGTTATTGTTGATGTTTTTGCACATCAATTTATTCACAACAATGTTTCATGTTTTTTACAACAGACAAATTAGAAATAACAAAACTAAAAAAACTAATAGAATGAAAAATAACTAAAAATCAATCATAAATGCAAACAAGCACTGATGGTTATTACAACATCGAAATGATTGACATGATGAATTGTCAATATCTATCATTTGTCAAAGAAGAAAAACCAATCAAACACAACGCAAGTGAAAAAGAAGAAATTACAAGAGAAATGAAAAAAAGAAATTATCATCAAATTAGAACAAGAAAGGGAGACAAACACAAAATCGGAAAGAAGAGTGAAGAACATAACAAAGAAGAGAAAGAAAACACAGGAAGAAGTGTAGATGAGACAATTGAAGAAGATGAAGGAAAAAAGAAAACAAGAATAAATGAAAAGAAAAAAGAAAAGAACAAAAGAACAAACAAAGAAAATATGATAAAAGGAATGAGTGAAGAAGAAAAGATGAAAGAAGAAAAAGAAATACAATATTCAAACACACCAATTAATCAAGAAATCAAAATATACAATATCATTAAAGAAGGGTATCAAAGAATTAAAAAAGGAGAAATTATAGAAGGGAAAGAATATCAAGAAGAAACAAAGAAAAGTGGAGGAAGTGTTGGGAGTGATTTAACGATTATTTCAATGATAAAGAAGTATGGGATAAGTGATAAGAAAGAAATACATAACAATCCAATCATTAAATATCAACTTGAAGAAAACAATGGAATTAGAAATGAAGAATATTGTCAAAAAGTTATTTCAGAACGAATTAAATATCTTGTAGAATTAATCACCATAAATATAAATGATAAATCATTCCATACAATACCACATTGAAAATAGTACTTAATTCATTCCATCATTAAATTGTTCAATGAAATATAAGTCATCATAATCATTAAAACACTCTTCAGAGAATGTTTTATTTTGTATTTCAGTTCCATTAAAACAACCCTTTTCATACTCAATTTTATTAACATCACTCACTTCCATTTGAGCTATTGTACAATTGTAAATAGCATTTTTTTCAATCACTCTCACACTTTTTGGTATAGAAATCTTCTTGATATTCATACTATTGAAACAGTATGAAGCTATTCTTGTTACTCCTTCTTGGATATTGAAATTTTCTTCCTCTTCATTAATATCATCATGAATTAAGCAGCAATTATCACAAACAACACCTTCCTCTTTCAGTAATGAATATATCTTATATCTTATTTTACCTTTCATTTCTTGCAGTCCTTGTACATCTATTTTCATTAACTTAGAGCAATTAAGAAAAGACTTTGGTGAGATAGAATGAAGGTTATTTGAAATCTTTATTCTGGTTAATTCAAGACAATCATCAAAACATCCTTTTGATATTTCTTCGACATTTTTTGTATCAATCAGTTCAATGCTTCTACACCCTCTAAGAAAGTAATTTGGTAACTTCATTAGTTGTTTGGATAATGTGATTGAAGTAAGACTATCCATGTATTGAAATGCCATAGACTTTATTTCTGTGACTGTGGATGGGATATTGATTTCTCTAATTGAATATTCTCTCATAAATACATTCTTTTCAATTACTTCAACACCATCTGGTATTGATCCTTGATACTGAATTTGGTCTTCTTTACAATAACAGTCTTTGCTAGAACAAACCTTTTGATGGTTATGAATCAGTGCTCGAATAAAATGTGGGATTTGTGTCTTCAATGGGGTTTGACTGTTATACTCAATTATTGAAAGTCTTGGACACTCACAGAATGACCATTCACCTATGGAAGTGATTTTATCACTAAATATGACTTTGCTCAAGTTGTTACAACAAAAGAAACAATGATTTCCAATCTTTTCAACTTCGCTCAGATCAATTGACTCAATTGTGCTTGTCTCAAAACTCCCATCTCCTATTTCAACACACCCACTACATAACTTCCAATCATTTTGTTGAATGTCAACTTTACTCATTCGTTTTTCAGTAATAATTATACCAGCCTCTTCAAAGACTTGTGACAATTGATAATCCATTCTTGTTGGTATTATTTTATTTCCAGTATTAGAAATATGTTGAATAGAATCACACATCTTAAAACTATCTCTCCCTATCTCAGTCAGGAATGATGAAATTGTCAATGATGTAAGTTGAGAGCACATACTAAAACAATTATCACCAATCTTCTGTATATTCTTCAAGTCTATTTCTTTCAATGCAAAGCAGTTCATAAAACATCTGTCTGGAAGTGTTTTGAGTTGAGTTGATAGAACAACCTCTTTTGTTCTCATAGGAAAGTGAAATCCATCTCTTATTTCTCTAACTATAGAAAAATCAAATTTCACATGTCTTTCTTCTAATAACAAGTTTTGATCAATAATGTTAACAACATGAAATTCACTTGGTTTTAAATATCCTTCTCTGTTCTTTACTTGTAAACATTTCCACTCTCCACTTCTTTTTTGAATCTCATTATATTCATCAATAGACATTTCATATTCACACAGATGAAAACCTACATTCAACACAACATCATCTCGATGGTAATGATGTTGGGTATGGATATTTGGAAAGAATTTCTCCATTCCTTGTGTAATTGCAATTGGATTATAATGATAAAAGGTTAAAATTTTATTGTATTTTGTACACACCATAGTCAATTTAATGAAATCCTTTTTAGAATGAAAATAACTTCCAACAATTACCATTTCAAACAGACTCAATTTAGTTTTCATTCTTTTTATACTTTTTCTAGTTTTGAGTTTTAGACTGAGCTGAAGAAGGTAATCCAAAATATCTCAAACACAATTGTTGTTGTTGTTGCTCTTTTCTTTAGTAATTATGCTTTATTCAAATAACAATGGCTTTAATTCAACCATAATTAAAACATCATTAAACCACTTTCTGTATTTTCTAATTAATTAAAATATTCTTTATAACAAAAGTCAAAATAAAATAACATGATAAGAACAAGAATTGTTGTTTGTTCATTTGTTTTAACTCCTTATAAATAAAAACAAAATATAACTACAAATAAAGCATAAAATCAAAGAAAGAATAGTTGTATGAACCAATGAATAATTAGTTATTTAAAAGTCTGTTGAGTGTTTGTGAAAAACAACATTTTGTTTTATGATTGATGAATGTCATTCTAATTAAATGAAAGTAAAAGACAGGATGATAAAATGATAATAAATGATAAGACAGGAGCTAAAAGAAGAAGATAAAAGTGAAAAGAATCAATGTTCAAGGTGGTTTATGATAATAATCAGTTGTAAAAGGATAGTCTTAAAATAGACTTTATAAAAAAACGTTTTATGCTTATTTCCTCTGAACTTAAAATTAGTTGACTGAAAAGAACATATATGGGAATTCTCTTCAGTAAAAAGACAAAAGAACATAAGGAGACCGAAGAAGAAAAAGAAGAACGAATCAAAAAGGAAGAGCACTGTGGAATTGGGAAGTTATTTAAAGAAAAAGAATTGATGGAATGTATTGAAACAATGAAAAAGACATTAGAAGAATGGAGTGGATATTCAAAACCAACAATTATATTTGATAGTGATGAAATGGAATATAAAGAACTTGGAGACAAAGTAAAAGGACGATCTCATTTATATTTTATAAATATTTCAAATGATGGAACAGTATTTGGATATTATTGCAATGAGTGTATTAAAAAAATTGATCAAACAATAATTTTTCAAACAAATACCAATTTTATTTTTCGGTTAGTTAATCCAAAGGATGTTAATGATAGTCCTAGAAGATGGTATTTTGATTTACGTCCAGAACATGAAGATTATGTTGATTGTATTAAAATTTATGAAAATGATGAACATACGGTTTATGAAGTAAATTTTTGTGGATTTAAAATAGCAAAGAAAGGTACAAATTTAAGTTATTATGATCATATTGAAGAATGTCATTCACCAAAAGGTATTGATAATGATAGGATAAATTATTATAAAGATGAATGGACAAAATCAAATGAACATTTTGATACTGAACGAGTTATAGTTGTTGAGATGCAATAATTTATTTCTTTCATTTTTGTATTAGTTTCAATTACATCAATGATAATTATTAAATAAATAAATAAAAATTAAAAATTTAATTTAAAGAATGTTAGATATAACTTTTTCATGAAGTACTTTATCTTTGTATTTTAAAGTAATTTCATCTAAAATATTTTTAATTTCTTTTTTTGCTTTGGTAATATCTTCTTCATTCTTTCCTTCAATCAACAAATATAATTTACTTTGTCCTGGTAATGGAGTTTTTCCTTCTCCAATATAACTTCCTCTAGTTGTAATATTAACATTACAATTTTCCATAACACTTATTAATTTTTCTTTACTTGTTAATACTTGTCTTGCTTGAATAGAAAAGTCATTAATTTCAATTTTACATTGAACCCCATTATTTGTAATTTTTGTCATTCTTTTATTAATACGTTCAATCATTTGAAGTGCTTTTTGAACCATTTCTTGTTTTTCTTTTGGAATATTACTTTCTTTAATTTCTTCTTTCATTTTCTTTTCTTCAAATCGTTCTTTTAATTTTATCCCTCCTCCAATATCCTCTTCCATATATCCTCCAATTTTATTTTCCATTGTTGTGATTTCTTCTTTAATATCAAATTTAAATCCATTTCCTCCATATCCTTTCTTTCCTTCTTTTGTTTCTAGAAATAGTTTCTTTGTTTTCCATTCTTCATACATATCATTAAGTTCTTTACTAATACTTCCTCCTGAAAGAGTAAGTGCTTTAACAATATCTTCACTATATCTTTCTTCTTCTTTTGTTATAAACGTTATTGCCTTACCACGTTTTCCTGCTCTACCTGTTCTACCAACTCGGTGGACATAATCTTCTAAATGATTAGGACAATCATAATTAATTACTAATTCTAATCCTTTAACATCTAATCCTCTTGCACATAATGAAGTAGTAATTAATATTGTTCTACCAATTCCACTCTTAAATTCTTGAATTGTATTTTGTCTATCAATTTGATCAATTCCTCCATGAAGTAATAAACAATTAATATTTCTTTCCATTAAATTTTGATATAACTCATCACAATTCTTTTGTGTTTCTGTAAAGATAATTATTCTTCCTCCTTTATTATTTTGTTCTAAAACAATGGAAATTAATCTCTCTATCTTTTTCTTTGTTTCAATAACTTCTACAATTTGTTCTATTGTATTTGATACTTGTGATCTTCCTCCACATATAATTTCAATTGGTTTTTTTAAAAATTCTCGTGCATGTTGTTCTACTGAAATGGGAAATGTAGCTGAAAACATAACAATTTGTTTGTCAGGTCGAATTCCTTCAATAATCCTTTTAATTTGAGGTCCAAACCCCATATCAAACATTCTATCTGCTTCATCTAAAACTACAAATGTAACTCTTCTTAAATTTGTAATTCTCCCATTATTAGTAACTAAAATATCAATCATTCTTCCTGGTGTACAAACAACAATTTCTGTTCCTCGTTTTAATGCTCCTATTTGGTTTGAAATTCCTGTTCCTCCAAATACTGCAACACTTCTAATATTTAAATATTTCCCAAATTTATTAATTTCTGTATTAATTTGTTCTGCTAATTCTCTAATTGGGGCAAATACAATTCCAATTGGTCCTTCCCCTTTAGAAAGAGGTCTTTGTGCCATGACATCTAATTAGTTAATTTTGTATTTCTTTTTATTATTCTTTCTTATTTTCTTTTCTTTTCAAATTCTTCTATGTTTTTGAATATCTTTCTCAAAAATATATACATCTTTTATATACAAACAAAAACAAACGTTTTATTAATGGTATTGTATATGCTAGTGTTTTTCCTGACCCTGTTTTTGCACATACTATTGCATCATATCCTGACATTATCACAGGAATTGCTTGTCGTTGAACTGGACTTGGTTTTTCATATTTTAATGCTTTAATAACATCCATTCTATTTTATTATTTCTTTTTAATTCATTAAAAATATTCTAAACAAACGTAATTGGATTTATTCCACATTCTGACCATGTTCTAATTGGCTTAGGACAATTTTTACCTTTAACAATACACCCTTCTAACTCTATTCTTCTTATTTCTTTAACTTCTTCTTTTTTTAATTTCTTAATGTCTGGTACTTCTACATATAATGCTTTATGAATTGGCTCATATTGAATATTCTTATGGTCAACATCAAGTAATTCCAATTTCTTTTTCTTAATTTGTGCTAATTCATCTTTGTAATCTGCTAAATCCTCACTGTCTCGAGCTTCTTCTTTTTTTCCTTCATTTCTTTCATGTTCTTCATTTTCCTCATTTTCTTCATTCTCTATTTCTTTGATTTCATTTCCTTTTAACTCTTTCAATCGACCCATTGCTTCATTGACTTGTTGTGCACTTTCTTCTTCCATTTGATTCATGAATGTATCGAAATCATCAACACTCTCGTCCATTTTCTCTTTTTTCTAGTTTCTCCTTTATAGTTTTATTATTTGTTTTTATAAAAAGCTATTTTGAAATAAAAAGTCAAATTTCTTGATAAATAAAAATTGTTGATGCCATCACATCTTTGAAAAAACCTACATCAAGACAATGCACAACATAACATGATTATGCAAATCCGTGAATAATACTTCTTAATAGTAAAGAGAAGGGGTATTGTGAACTATTGTTATAATAGAAGATAAAGAAGGTAGGATAATTAAGACGATATGTTTGAAAAGAAATATTCATAAACTGGAATATACAAGAGGAATGGTATTAAGTATATGAAATAGAATTATACAAGGAGTAAAATGAAAATACTTCAAATGCATTAAACTAATTTGAAATATGAAAAAGAAAAATAAAACACACAAAAACAAGATGAAATTAAATGAAAATCTAGTGAAACACAAAAGGGTTGTATGATGAAAAGAAACAAAATAAAAAAGATAAGAATAAAGTATATACAAATAAATATTCATACATTATTCTATTCTTTATTCATAAGAAAGAAGTTGGTGAAGTAAAAAAAAAAGATGTAATGAGTAATAATTTGATATATTGTAGAGATAAATATGAATAAATATTGTATAATACAATATTTGATAATATAATATCATATTACCATTCATATTTAATTTAATAGTTTGTATTCTTAGTTATGACATACGGTAATTGATTGAATTTAATAAATGATAAATCTTATTGTTGTTTACGTTCAATAGATGATAAGAATTTAAAATATTCTATTGAATTAAAATTGACACTGTATTTTAATGAAATAACCAATTTATATTTGTGGTTGTTTATAAGTAATATGTTAGTGATGACTATAATATCAATAACATAATCGATTGTTATATTTAATTTAATTTATTATTTGGTTATTGGTTATCATTGAATTATAAATAGTAATACTATTTGTGCTTGTAATAATGTTATATTTATAATGTTATATTAAGAAGCTTTTTATCGTATAATTTCTTTTTGTTTTTTTGTATTAACAGTGTCTTTATTCAAAATTATTATTTAATGAGTTGAATATGCTAATATTAATTGTATTATATCATAAGAAATAAAATAAAAACGAGTTGTTTCCATGTTTTAGATATTATTTCAACGATTGATTTATGAATAATAAATATTTATTCTCTTTTGTTTGATTTATATTGTTTTTCATATAAATGTGAGTGATAAAAATGTTCTATTTCAATGATATTGAATATTTTTATGTAACACCTTATTTAGATAAGTCATTAATCATTCAAATAAGAATATTCAATCTAGAAAAAAAAATATAAAAGATAATACAGAGTAAAAGAAAAAAACATGGTAATTCAATTCATTCAATAAATATAATGTTTAGTTGATAAACATAGTTTGAAGTTGAAGATATTTTATAGGAAACATGAATAAATACAATAATAAAACACAAAATGTAAAGTATAATTGTCATGAATTATAACCAAATAACTATAATAATTAATTATTTGTTAATTTAATAATTATTTGTATTTAAAGATAAACTAATATGTAGTTCAACTGATTGATAATGAACATAAAAGTACTATAAATAAATTATTATTTATTAATACTAACAATAACATGTATGAAAGAAATTGTGAAATACATGATAATTAATACCACCTCATTGAATATATCAATTTTAGTTTGTTTCATATGGTGAAAGAGTATTAATACTGTAACAATAAAATACAAAATATATAAACAAATATTTATCATAGAATACTTAAAATAGCAAGCATTTTAATTAATACTAACCAGAATATAAAAGAAAATAAAATTATGTAATAGAATTGTAGAGAATATGAGTCGTCCAAATAAAAGAATGAGAGGTTATTTGTTAGTACATCACTACGTTCACTCAAATCAAATTTATGTTTGAAGTATTGAATATAATAATGATTATAATTTAGTCAGTCATGTGTTTACAGTTTTTATGAAAAGAAAAATAACATTATACTCTAAAAGGTAACAAAAATGATTTATTCAAAACGACAATTCAATGAATATCATAGAAAACTAAATGAAACAAAACATAAGATTGTATTAATAAAATCATTAAACATTTAAATACTGTTAAATTTAAGACTAAAATGGTACAAATAATTATTATTTGTTTATAAATGAAAATTATTAATTTAGTTCATTCAAATAATGATTATGTTGTGGTATTTTCAGTTTGTTTCTCAAATAAAAAAATAAAACCAAGAAAAAACTAAAGATTCATGTCAAAAGACTAATAATTAGATTTGCTGTTTTATCGCTTCATAATACATTTTTCCATTTATTTCCCAGTCATAGTAAGTAATGCCTTGTACTGAATATGATGTTATTGTTATTAATGGATAAGTGCAATGTTTTCTTGTATTGTAGTTAATCTTACATCCAAATTGTTCTAACAATGAAATTAATTCAAGATTCATTGCATTAATGAGTGTTTGGTTTTTTATATTTGCACCTATACGAGCCTTAAACATTTCAAGGTTAAATATAACTTCTCCTTGATATGTAACACGTTCAATATTAAAAGGAATGATCTTGGTAGACCTTTTCCTGCTCTTCTCAGCTTTAACTTCACATCCATACATTGACAAACACCAGGCTAAAAAGCCTACTGTATATGCCCTCTTAGTTAATTCTCTCTCTTTACTTTTTAGGTTATTATATTGCTTTATATTGGGTATATTCTGATAATAGCCATCTTGAATTAAACATGGGGTTGTCAAAATGCCTGTTGATAAAATATTCTGTGACACTACTACACCATTTTGTTGAATGAACATAGTAGAATCACAAAACACTTCACCACAAGCATAAGTTGGATTTCCGTATTGAATTTGTATAGAATTTCCAAGACTACTAAGCATGTTAATTCCTTGTATGAAAAACTAGATATTATTCGGTATTTAAATATTGTGCATCGACGTTATTCAATAACTTTGAAAAAAAATGATTCTTCTAGACTGTATCAATCCCTCAATTATTTCAATTAAATTATAATATACCACTAAAAAATAGTTTCAAGTTTTACCAATTTACTACTTTATTATTCAACGAATTTTATTCAGTTACAGTTTTTCTTCTAATAAAATAATCGAATTGAATAAAACAGATAACTTCTACTTTTTATTCAATACTCATAATAATAACTCTTTCTTATTTTATTTATAGATTTGATAAAACGATTAATTCGATATATCTATTTTTAAGATTTTCATTTTTTAAATAACAACTAATTTACAATTCATTTTTTACTTTTCTTAAACTAGTATTTTTGATAAGAAGAATATTTTTATTATAACTTTTCACTTTTCAAAAAACTGGTATAAAAAGCTTCAAAAAATTTCTTATTTCTCTTTTCTTTTCCCTTATAACTCCTTTCCAATGCAAAACATAACAACAAATTTTAATGCTATAGTTAGTGTGTAAATCCTTTGTGTATTGAAAAGAAAAGCAAACAAGACATAAAAATTCAATGTCATGCAATAGAATGAAATGTCAATAACAATAAATTGAAAAGAAATAATAATAATAATGGTAAAAGAAATACCACAGAAGATGGATTAGAAGAAGAAAGACACTAAGAAAAACAAATAAAAAACAAGGTAAATACAATAATAATAATAATACAAATAACAAATATAAATGGCTAACAATAAATGATGTGAAATAATCAAAAGAATAATAAGCGAATGGGAGAAAGGAGAAAAAGAAGAAATACTAAAAAACTAAAGAAAAAAACAAAAGAAAAAAACAAAAGAAAAAAACAAAAGACATTGAAGAAAAAATTAAAATTAAAAAAATTAAAATAAAAAAAATGAAAAACACATCAATTACGATTAACCTCATCTTTATATTTTCATCATGTTGAGAAGTGAGCGAATCAGTTTCTTATTCAAAATGCTTTATTTCTATTGAAATATTGTTTTTTTTTCAATCATGTTCGACTTAAATAGTTCATCATTTAAGTTGCTGCATGATTTTTATTTTAATGAATAATAAGTTATTTATCATTCTTTATATTGTTGTTTTAAGGAGAGTATATCCATAACATAATGATTATGACTCATCTCATTTATCATCATCTTCTTCTCTTAAAGAAACACTATTCCTTGATAATATCCTTATATTCAAATGTACATACAACAGTAACAATAATATATGCGTCTTCTTTAATAAATTATAATTCTTGATAAATAATAAACCCTCTTAATGAATAATATTCTTTCATAATAATCATTCATAACAAATACTAAATAATAGTCAATTAGTTTTGAATGAATATTATCTCACCAAAGGCACGTCATGACCAGACGATAACTGGGATATTCGAAGCATGGGAATATTTTATGGTTTCATGTGGTGTCTCTGACGTGACATCTTCGAATCTTAAGTTGAAGAAGTAATTAAAAACAAAAACACAAATAAAGAAATGAATGAAAGATGTAAAATTGCAAGAATAATAAATAGCAAAGAAAGTATAAAGAAAATACAAGAAGAAATACAACAAAATAAAGAAATAGAATTTTAATTGAAGTGTTGTATTGTTTTGCAATTAATTGGTTGAATAAGAAATTATATAAGAAATTAAGATGGGAACAAATAGAAAGTATAATAAAAGTGATAAACATCAATGTCAATAATGAAAAAGAATATATTAATTATATTAAAATATCACATAAAATAAAAGAAAATACTAAACAATACATTAAAGTGAAAGTAAATGATATAATAGAAGGAAGAGTAGAGTGTGATTCAATAATAAAAACATCATATTAAAGAATAACTCTACAGAAATTGATGAAGAATATCTTAACACTCTCATCAATAAAATAAAAGAAATGAAAGTAGAAAAATGTACTAACATTAATTACTACTTTCAAAGAAAAGAAGCTGACCGATTAATAATGGAAAATAATAATAGATGGATATGGTCAGGAAGCAGAATGCATGAACTGCAAGATGATATGAAAAGGATTTCAATGGTTATGCATCTTTATCTCCAAAATAAAATAACAAGAGATAAATTTGATGAAATAAAAGAAATCCTAAAGAAAATAAATAGACTAGAAGATTTGGTCAAGGGAAGGAAATGGTACAGAATAAAGTGAATCATGAAATTAAATGAACATGATGAAGAAGGAATAAAAGTTAAAGCACTAGAAAGAATAAAGTACCTAAAATATATGATGACAATGAATAAAGAATTAAATTTAATAAAAATGAAATAATCAGAATCAATACAAATAAAATCATGTTTGATTCTAATAAGAAAATTAGAATAAGGAAGAAAGACCCAAAAAATGAAATATACCCAAATAACGATATTACTTTAGAATATTGGAAATCGTTATATGAAACACAGGTGAAATTAAATAAAGAGAATTGGAAAATAAAACAAAACACGATATTGAATGAAAGATATATCAATTATGATAATGTCATAATAACAATAAATGAATTAAATTTAAGTATAATGAGAATAAGTAACTGGAAAGCACCAGGAATAGACACTATATATGGGTATTATTTGAAAAGGATGTCATCATCAAGAGAAATCATTCTCAATATCTTTAATGAATGGTTGAACTTCATTCAAAACATCAAATTAGACATGGTAAGTGGAAGAACTTTATTAATCCACAATTTGATAGGAACGACGTCACTAATTATTGTCATATCAGTTGTACAAATGTAATTATGAAAGTATTTACCTCCATATTAAAAGAAAAGATTCACAGAAGACTTAACATGAATTGTGAATCATTTAAAATTAGTAAAAATCAATTGGGATGTAAGTTACAATCTTTAGCTGCTAAAGAAGGAATAATAAATAGTTATATGATGAAGCAGAAAGAAGAGAAATACCCAAAATATGTGGAGTCATATTATGACATTAAGAAAACATATGACACTGTCAACCATGAATGGGTAATTGAAACATTAAAATATTTTAATTATGAGTGAGTCATCATTGACATTATTGAAAGTATGATGACTAGATGGAAGATATTCATAGGTTATAAATATAATGAATATCTAGGATATATTAAATTAAATAGAGGAATTTTACAAGGTGATTCATTATCAAATCTACTCTTCATCATTCAGATGAATGTAATTTCTCAAATCATCGAAGAGAAATTCCCAAAATCAAATCATACATTATATATGGATGATTTGAGAATAATGACAGAAAGTAGTGAAGAAATTTGAATAATCCACTGTGAAATTAATGACAAATACATCAAAAAATGAAAGTGTCATCAAATTAGTGGATATTTTAGAAGATGGTTTGAGTCAAAAGGAGTAGATAAAACTACTACAATGAAAGCATGGAAGTCCATCAATATTAAAAAAAATGCATTTCTCAAATTAACTAAAATGCAAGATGGTGCAATATTTTGTGAATATAGAAAATCAAAAATAATGAAAAATGAAAGATTGAAATACTCCACAATTTGTAAAGACAAGATAGCTACAGTAGAACACATCCTACTATCTTGTATTTATCATAAAAAATCACAAATGAAAAAACATGACAATATTGGCATAATAATATTGATTAATAAGAAAATACACATGAAATAAACAATATAAAAACCTCCATATGAAACAATGTTCAAATATAAAGACATTACTATGATATGGAACAAACAAATAATGCCTAAAAGTGAATGACAAAATCACAAAATACCAGACATATATGTAATAGATAAAAAGAACAAAACTGGTCTAATATTTGATATGACTATTGTTGAATATCACAATATTAATTGAGCGTATTTGAAGAAAAGAAATAAGTATAATGAATTAAAGAATATTCTAATGAAAATAGAAAAGTTAAAAGATGTCAAAATAATTCCAGTAGTAATCTCAATCAATGGATTAATAAATAAAGAAAGTATCAAATTAATTAAAATAAGAAAGAAAATAACACCCCAAAAGTTAAAGATATTGTAATCAAAAATAAGATGAACTAATGGAACATAGTTTCTATTATAGCCAAACACATTCTATATAATTAATAGAAAATAACTAGGGGATTAATCTCCACAGAAAAATCAACAATAGAGAACAATCCATCAATACTTAAGTAATTCACTCTTATTTTCAACTACCTCAGCACAAGATATTTATAGGGATTGTCATTTGTTATTCTTGATAGTTCTGCCAATTCAACATTTTTTTGACTATTAATATTTGTTATTGCTCTCTTTTTTCAAAAAAGGAAGAGTTTGGAAAACAAAAATTAAAAATATCAATTTTGTTGATATTTTTATAAAACTTTTTTGAAATTTTTTTGTGTTATATAATGAAAATGGATAAAACTAAAAAAAAATAATGAAAACGAAATCGAAAAATTCTTTTTAACTAACTTTTCTTCATGGAAAGACCACCTGTGGAATTTATTGTTCCAAAATACTTTGAACACCCACCTAGGTCTAGTGTTACGGTTGATCGATTTCTTCGAATAAGTAAACCAAATGTATTAAAGACATATGAAGAATATTCAATAGGAAAACTAAGCCATCCATTAGATTTACCATTTGTTGTTAAAATTCATTTACCAAAAGAATTAATAACACAAATAGGAAATACTTATGTTGAAATTTCTATTGATAAAAATGCTACTATTGACGATTTATTAAAACAATTTTTTGATAAGTTTGGTACTGGAATTATTGCTTTTAGGAATGTACTGTTAGAAAAGAATTATGCAGGATTAGTATTATTATCATCTCTTTGTGATGGTGATGAATTAGTAGATTCAATTTTTCAATTTATTAGAATTCATAGTATTGAAGCAGATTATCTTAGTGCATTTGTCTCAACACATGGAGTTCAATCAAGACTATTGGAAGGATTATTAGAAAATTGGATGTTTGAAAAAGAAAAATTGTTTTTGGATACATTTTTCTTCCCAATTAAAATGAGAGTTCAAAATGGATTATTTGAAATTGATGCAAATAAAATTTCACCATCAGAAAATAGAGACCAAAATATTGGATATATTTGTAATTTAATAAAACAACTTAGAAATACATTATCTACTGCCCTTCAAAAACTTACTGGTGAAACAGTTTATATTTTCTACACATTAAATAAGAAATTAACATTAAACCATTTAAATTCAGATCAATATGCGTTATCCAAATTATTCTTTAGAATTACATTAAACCTTTTATCAAATGAAAAATATCCAAGAACTAATGCTGATTGGAAATTTTCTACAAATTCTTCTCAAACAACACGATTAACATCAATTTTATTTGAAATTTTTAATATATTTTTAAAAGATGTTGATGATAATTCACTTCCAGATGTTGTGAAACAAACATTTAATAAAGAAATAGAAGTAATGACAGAAATTGTTCAATCATTTTTTAAAAATTTAAGACCAATGATAAGAAACATAATGAAAGGAGAAATGAATGAAAGTATTGAAAGAACAGTATTAGATAAATTATTACGTTCTACAAAAGAAATATTTAAAAATCCTATTAATTGTCCTGAATTTAATAGAGAATATCCAAATGTTTCAATTGAATTATTAAAAAAACAAGCAATGGATATTCAAAATGTTTCCAGTAATTATCATCTTAGAGTACCAAATTCAATGTATTATATTAAAGTTTCACAAGTTCAAATGACTCCTATTGGAGAATGGGAATATGTTCGTCAACGATTAAGAGAGTTTAAGTCAATAGAATTTGAATGTGTAGATACACAATTATTTGAACGAGATAAAATAGTATTATTTGATATTTCAACAATTATTGATGGACCAATGAAATGGGATTGTACAAATCCACAAGAATTTTATTTTAGAAGATGTTCATATCACAGTGCAAAGGATATGAATATTCCATTTATTCCAATTTCATCAGCAATAACAGCAATACCATATCCAAAATCATTTCCAGAAACTTTTTTTATTAAATTACAAATTTCTACTGCTGTAAGAGATTTTTGTCAATTAGATAAACAAAGTAATACACTTCAAGTAAATTATTTATTTAAACCATCAATGATAATAGATAAATATCTTCGTTCAATTCAGAAAGTTAGAACTGACTTTGAAGTAAACAATAATATATTCTATCTTAAAACACTTGGATTTGATGAATATATGTTTGATGATGTTCCAATTGGAGACTATCAATATATTAGAGAAATGTTAAGAATGTCTAAACCAATTAGGCTAATGTTAGTTCTTGAAGCAGGTGAATTTGAAAAAAAATTACAAGTTCGACAACGAAGTGAAGAGTTAGAAAAGAATTGGGAATTTCAACCATTACCAATTGAGTTACCAAATATGGATATTATATTACCTCACTGTGTAATGAGAAAAAAATTAGGTATTTATGTTCAAAATATTGAAATGACTGATCAAATTTTTACTACTAACTCATTATATGTTGTATTACTTGAAATATGTTTTGGTGGAGAAGTTATGTGGAGTTCACGTTCTTCAGTAGTTTCAAATATTTCTAATGAAAAAAATAAATTTAACAATTTAAATTTAAATCAATGGATTATTTTTGATTCATGCCGAATATGTGATATTCCTAAAGAAGCTATGCTTGTATTTAAGGTTATTGAAGTAGATAAAGAAGTTAAAATTAAAAAAAATAATATATACAAAGGAGAATGTAGAAATTGTCATTTATCATTATACTCTACTAAAGGAAAAGGATTTAATATGTTTTGTAGTTGTGGAATGGATTTATCTCCAAATAGTATTAGTAGTGAAAATAATACAACTACAATTATTGGATGGACTGATATTTATTTATTTGACTATCGTAAATTAATGATTTCTGGAAATTATTCACAAGCAATTATGTTACCTCCTGTTATTCCTATTGGTATTCCTGTGACGGAATTTGGTAATCTAAATCAACTTAATGGAAAAATTCAATTTAAACTCCCAATTGGACCAACAATACAATTCGATAATTCAACTATTGATATTACAATGGAATTAAATAAAAAATGTGAATTAAATGAAGAAGAACAAAAAAGAATTAATACTCTAATTGTAACAACAAATTTATTAAAAGAAATAGAAAATGAAGATAAGGAATTAATATGGAGAGGAAGACAATTTATTCTTAATGAAGAAACTCTTCATCTTCATCCAAGTAGCATTGTTTTATTATGTCAAAGTGTTCCATGGAACAAACCAAAAGAAGTAAAAGTATTTGAACAACTCATTCAAAAATGGCCAAAAGTAAGTCATATCATTGCATTAAGATTACTTCATTTCTCATTTGCAAATAGTTTTATTCGACAATACGCTGTTAATTGTTTAGTTGAATGTAATGATGAACATCTCTCAACAATTATGATGCAACTAATTCAGTCTTTAAAATTTGAAGCAACACCATTGTCTGATCTTGCAATCTTCTTAATTCATAGAGCACTCAATAAACGTTCTACAATTGGTCGTATATTCTTTTGGTTAATCAAAAGTGAATTACATATCCCTGAAACACAAAGAAGGTTTGCATTACTTCTTGAAGCTTTTTTGATGGTATGTGGTGCTCAAAGAACAGTAATTAAAAACCAACTTGATTTATGTAAAAAATTAACGTCATTATATACCCAACAAAATCAAACATGGAAAACTGATATAAACCAACTCACAAAAGAATTGAATAACATCATATTACCTCAAATTACCTATGTTCCATTTAAATCTTCGTTAAAGTTTACTAAAATAGTTGCTGAAAATTGTAAAGTTTTGGATTCGTTAAGAAAACCATTATTTTTAACATTTAAAAATGAAGATCCAGAAGGTGATCCAATTTATATTATATTTAAAAAAGATGATGACCTTCGTCAAGATATGTTTGCATTAAAAGTCTTAGAAGTTATGAATCAAATGTGGCAAAATGAAGGATATGATATGAGATTAACATGTTATGAATGTCTTGCAATGGGTAATGCAGTTGGAATGATTGAAGTTGTATTACGTTCCGAGACAATTGCTGCTATTCAAAAGAAAATGTATGGAGGGAATGTTTCTGCTGCCTTTCAAGAAGATCCATTATATAAGTGGTTAAAAGACAAAAATACAAGTGATGATGAATTTTTAAATGCACAACAAAATTTTATTTATTCATGTGCAGGATATTGTGTTGCTACTTATGTTCTTGGTGTAGGAGATAGACATAATGATAATATTCTTCTTACACCAACAGGACATCTTGTTCATATTGACTTTGGTCATATTTTAGGGAATGTTGAAAAATTTAAGGGATTTAAACGAGAGACAGCTCCATTTGTTCTTACTAAAGAATTTGTATATGTTATGGGAGGTAAAAACTCAGAAGGATTTAGATTATTTGTGAATTTATGTTGTGATACATTCTTAATTTTACGAAAGAATTATCATGGCTTAGTTAACTTATTTACTATGGTTTGTTTACTTATTTAAATGTAATAATAAATGAAAAAAAAACTTATTGTAATAGATGCTTTCAACTGGATTACCTGAATTAAGAAGAACAGAAGATATGGTTTATTTGTTGAATAGTCTTGTACTTGATATGAATGAAGTTGACGCACGTGCATATTTTGAAAAGTTAATTAATGTAGCACTTGAAGCTGTTATGACACGAGTAAATAATGCTATTCATATCTTTGCACATCCCGACGTTAAAGAAGATGTTTAATTTACTTTTTCATTCCATTAAATACTATTTAATACAAAAATTAAATTAATTCAAATGAGTCTATACACATTTTAAACATTTCTAGAAACCGTACAAACAATTGTGAATTTTCTGATAGTATCCAATGAGTTCTATTAACAATAAAATTTACTGTAATGTTTTGTTGATATGCTTTATTTAATATATTCCCTAAAAATCCACAATTTTGAAAGTACATTGAATTTCCAAACTCTGAAACATCAAATGATGCTGATAATGATTGATGGTCTTTTGCTGTTTGCAAAATTATATCAATGGCATTATCAGTTGATTCATAATAATGTGCAAAAACATCATCTAAAATTATATTTATTGGGTTTTTATTAAATCTACGATAGTCTAAAGCAATTAAACCATGAAATGAAGGGATTTCTTGTTTTAGTTTTTGTGTTTGTTGTGAAAGTTGAGCAAGGGTTTTATCATCACAATTACCAAGACATTTGTTTTTAACCGTTTTTGTTAATGAAATAGCAAATTGATAAGATTTTAACTTATGTTGAAATGATGAGATATCACTTAAGAGACGTGTTGTGTTTGACTCATTTGATATGATAACCGATGAAATAGAATGTCGTTGTACTTGATTCAGAAATGTCTGAGTCTCAGTTAATTGAACTGAAGAATAAAAATCTGGAAAACTAATTCCAATGTCTATTTTAAATGATAACATTGTTGACATTGTCTTTAGTAATGAATAATAATCTAAATATGTTTGTAAATACACATCTTTTTGTGTCTCCCATTGTGGTAATTGATGGGGTAATAATACTAATATAACCTTTTTTGGATATTGATAAACTTTATATGACCATGTCCAGAATATAAAAAAAATGAGGAATTTCATGTGTGTTTGTCTATATGTATTTTTTTTAGTTTTTTTTAGAAGTTATGAAGAATTAATAAGGAATGTTTTTATTGTGTAGTTGAGAATTAGAAGATATTTCATGAGTATTTCTGAACGTTTAAAGATAAAAATATATGTATTAAAGTTAAGTAACATAATGTCATTAATCATTATTTGAAATATTCATCATCTTTATTATTTTTAAATAAATAGTAATTTGTTGAATTATTAGAATGAATAAAAGATTCTATAGTGGTAATTTGCTATGTGTTTATTCAAACTCAACATTTGTGTAATATTTTAAATTGTCTAAATGGAATAAAAGAAGATAAAAGTGTTTGACAAGAACAACAATGAAAATAAAGATAGTCTTCGCTAAGTCAATTCTATTATCATCATTTACATTCAAAAATATCATATTATGATGAATAAATATAAATTAACAAGGATAAAATATAAATTAATATTAAATAAGAATGGTGTTGTTCATTAAAAAAAAAAGATAGAATAAACTTCTTATTATCAATCATTTGGTTCTTCAATTTAAGAATTTCTAAAAACATTTCGTCTTTAGTATATTTCATAACACAAATCATTTTAATAAAATAATAACACATATTATTATATGTTTAATTAAGAAAATAAAGATATTTAAAATAAGTTTCAATTGATTCAAGAATTATGTAACATATTGAAATGAAGAAAGGTTATAAACGTTGTTTGGTATCATTAATAAATCATAAAAATAACTTAGAAAAAAAAAATAATAACAACAAAGAGTTATATTAAAAATCATTAACTTCTCTTTTTCTCATGTTGATTTCTTTCTCTTGAATGACTTCGACTTCTTTTATGTTCTTCTTCATTTGGATGAAAACTCTTTTGAATAATCTCATCAGGATCTTCTCCAACACCAATTAATTTTCCATTAAAATTACAATCAATATGAAGTTCACTTAAAGCTTTACCATGGTATCTTCCACGTTGTTCCATTCTATTATTTCCTTGGAATAATTCAGATATATCAATGATTTTGATTTGATGAGCTAATTCATTTTCCTCTTCTGTGGGATTTGTTTTTGTTTCAGTGTTTTTTGTTGATAAATTTTTATTTTTCATTTGAAAGGCATTTGTAGCAGTTAAATGTTTTCCAATCTTTTCATTAATGCTATCAAAGTATTTTTGTACTTCTTCTCGAGTTTTTTTATCAATAATAATATCTTTTGAAATATCTATTTGCTTTCCACACATTGTACACGTTTCTTTTTGACGAACTTCATTCAAACATTCTTCACAAAGAGTATTTTTACAACACCTCATGAAACAAGCTTGTGTTAATAATCCTCCACATTTTTTACATTTAAGAAGTTTAGGTATATCAAATTCTTCAGACATTTCATTCTTTGAAATTGTTGGTTTAAAACCTTGACCATTCATATCTCTCAATCTTACTCTTCTCCCATCTTTCAATGTTTTTGCTGTTGGGTCATCATCTGGAGCATCTTCATACATTTCCATAGGTAATCCAGCTGCTTCTTTCTTATCGAATGCTGGATTATTATTTTCAGGACAATCTTTAATATAATGACCTGGTTTATGACATCTATTACAAATATATCCTGGTGGTAATTGTCGTTGTTGTTTCTTTGGTCTGGTATTTATCAATTGTGTTGTTGGTCGTTCTACATTATCAATATATACTCCTTTAGTTGTTGCAATTTCTTTGTGAACTTCTTTCTTTTCTTCAATTTCTTTAACACTAACTCGAATGACTGTGTTTGGTATTATTTGGTCTAGTTCATTGACTTCTCTATTTCCTACTGTCAACACTAGTTGTGATGGTTCAATAGAAATATTACAATTCTTCATGTCTTCAATAATTTTTTGTTTTGCATCAACAAACAATGCATTTGGTTTAGAGATAACTAATTCTCGTTGTCTAGAAAAGAATCGTGCTGTGTATGAAAATGAAACGCTCATTTATCATTTTTAGTTCTTTCTTGACTTTCTTGTATCAACCTACCTCCTTACTAATCCTTTTTTACTAAACTTTCAACATCCATTGAAGAGAATTTAATGTTTATAAAGTAAACTAGATATTCTATGTCATTCTTAATTGTTAATAAAGACATTTTATGATTATTCATAATTGAAGTAAAACAGAAAGTACAATGCTTTGAATTAACACTAAATTAAAGAAGAAACTCATAAGTATTAAAAGAGAGAAAGAAGTGAATAGGAAGATGGGAAATGAGTTATTGTTTTATGGTTTAAGATTTATGTTATTCTAAAAACAGACTCAAAATAAAAATCAAAAAAGGTAAAAGAAGAACTAAAAAAAACTATAATATTAAAGAAGACAATGAAAATGCAGATTTTAGTTGTACTCCTTGTTATATTGTGTGTTAGAGGTAATGACATTAATGAGGTATTAAAGTCACATTATTCTGTCATAAAATCATATGTCAAAAATGAGATTGAAAATGAACGAGAAGTTATCAAAAACATCCAAAAAGTTATTGATGATAAACAAAAACTAAATGTTACTGGAATTGCTAAAGTAATACGTGACGATGAAATGAACTTATTGGAATTACAACTTACACATGAAAAGAATATTAAAACAATGTTTAAACAATCAAAGGCTGATATTAAAGAATGTCTAAAAGAAGATTTAAAAAATAGTATGAATTTAGAATTTAAAAAAATAATTGAGAAAGAGTTATTAAGACAAACCCAACGAGACACAATGTACCAACAAAAAATTAATGATATTGAAGGAGAAAATCAACAACATAAACGAATTGAAATGTATGCTTCTATTATTGGAAAAGAAATAGATTTTATGAAAGGAACTGTTAGTGGATGTCATAATAAAACATGTTATAGTATTAAAGATCAATGTGAACAAAGAAAAGAATTATTACAAAAAACGTATAAAAAGTTTGTTAAAGAAACAATAAAAACATTAGAAAAATTGATTGAAGAAATGACACAATTGAAAGAAGGATATGTAGATACATTACCAAAGTCAAATGATAAAGAAGGAATAATTTTAAGAAAAAGAATAACAGAAATTGATAAAATAATTAAAGGGTATGAGCACCAAATTGTTGGAATTAAATCAATTCATATGAAAATTCTTGATCAAATTAAAGAAGAAGAAGAACATAAACGAAGAATCTTTTTAAATAAATTCCTTACTTCAACTGATGATGTTGAAAAATCTAAAGAAGTTTTAAATAGAAAACAAGTTGAACTTCAAGGATTAGAAAATATTCTTGGTGCACGTCATGTATTTGTTGAAAATCGATATAAACTTATTCAAAGAAAAAAACATCTTAAGAAATTAATTACACAATTAATGAACATGCGTAAAAATGTTTTAATTCCAAGATTTATTAGATCAATTACACGATATGAACATATACAACAACAATTATTAAATGAAATATCTCGTAAAATTGCTAAATGTTATAGAAATCTTCAATCATTAGACCGAGCAAGAAAAAGAAGAGAAAATGAAATTAAAACACTTAAAGAAGATATTAAATATGACACTACATTAAAAAGTAAAAATGCATTAGAACAAAAATATAAAGAAGCAGAAATAGATAAAAAACAAAGAATTAAAATTGTTAAAAAATTAAATTCAATTGAAATTATGAAAAGAGATATTCTCTTAGCACTTGGTACAAAGAAAAGAGAATTTATGATGAAAAAGATTAATGGAAAATTAGAGAGTATTCGTAGTAAACTTGTTGATGCAAAAAATCGTGGGATTGAAGCTAGAATTAAAATTGAATCATTAAAACCATTAGAACCTACATCATGTAGAATTAGAACAATGAAAAATTATCAAGCTATGTTAAAAAGAGCACAAGAAGATCAAATTAGATTAATTAAAGAAAGAAATCAAATTATTTCTATTAACAAAAAGATTGTAAAAGATCAAGAACATTTCTTTATTCTTATTCTAAAGAATTTGAAAAAAGAACTTAAGAGAGCTGAAAGCCAAAGAGATAAATTAGCAAAAGAAACATTATATACTATTGACAATACAGATAAAGCAGCTAAATTAGAATTATTAGAAAATACAATTGAATCACTTGATTTAGCTATTAGAAAAAGTGAAAATAGATTAAGAAGATTAAGAAAACTTATTGGACATTTAAAAGAAACAAAAAAATCTATTTATTGCAAAAAGAATTGGAGATGTAATACCTGTTTACATTTAGGAGAATTAGCACAAATTGGAGTTGTTGAACATAGAGGAGATGGATGGACAATGAACAAAGCTAAAGAATATTGTCAAAAGTTTAAAGGACAAAAGAAAGAAATGTGTTTTAAAGAAGCATTTGATATGTTTACATCAGTAGCACATACTTTTGATCCATTAAAATTTGATGCAAAAGCAGTTTGCAAACGATTCAATCATTGCTAAAAAAAATGTTATTTGAAACAAATATTATTTTATTTTTTTTTTTAAAAACTTTTAGTTATAAAAACAATTCTTTTATTGACTTTTTTTATAATCTCTATATGTTTGTAACAATTCATTTATTACCATAGATTCTTGAGGTGATAAATCAGATACAAATCTAAGTAATTGTGGAATTCTTTGTGTTTGAGGAAGTGACAAATAAATATTTAATGTTTCAACTAATGGATATGTTAATGGGTTAGTTGATGATTGTTGAGATAATTCTTTAAGAATGGTTTGTTGATATTGTAATGTTTGAATAATATTTTCTTTTTCACTTTCAGTTAATTCTCTTTGTGAGATTTTAGGTAATGGTGGTGAATCTCTTTTTAATGAACATGGAAGACGAGGTGGTTTTGTTTGTTGTGTACTTGTACTAAGTCTTGAAGGAGTAGTTTGAAATAATGTAGTACTTTTGGTTATTCTTACTTTTTTCTTTCCACTATCTGCTTTTGAAATAACTCTTAATGGTTCACTATAAAGTGTTTCTATTTTTTCTCTTTGTGGATTATATAAATCAAATTTTATTCTAAATAACATATCTTCATGTTGAGATGATAAAACAAGTATACGTAATTCAACATTCATTGAATTGTGATCACTAACTTGACTATTAAAAGTAATTGGTTTTTGATTAATAAAATGTACTGCTGACATATCTGGATTATCATATAATAACGTACAATCTACACTACAATTTTCCAATGATGATGTTCTTGATGTAATAACAACAAGAAATGCTGATTGTTTAATAACAACTCCAACATTTTTTGTTGTTCCATCTAACATTTGTCTTTCTTCATGTGGTAATTTATGATGATACGAAATAATAAAATCTCCACTTGTAGTAATATTAGGTGAAACTTCATTATTTACATTTGTTATGAGATGAGAATCAAGTGGAATATTATTTTGATTACTTTCATTTTGTTCATTTAAATTATTATTTTGAGTAACAGAAAGTGGTGTATTATTATTCATATTATTCTATAAATCATTTTTTAAAGATTAGAAAAGGGTTTTAAAAAGTTCTTTTCATATAATCTTGTTTTCCTCTTTTTCTTTTTGCTTTAGTTGTTCTTCTATTTAATATTTATTATGAACTATTTCTTCTCAAAACAATAATAATTCTTTTTAAAGTAAAAGAAAGAATATCACTTAAATATTCAATTAATGAAACATTTTCAACATTCTGTATGTAATGAAGAAACCTCCAAAGATGTTCAAACATGCAATAAATACAGCTAAACATCCAACAATAGTAACAGCAACAAAATAGAAAAGATCAGTTGATGGATCAATCAATGAAATATTTGTAATTCCTCCAACTGCAATAATACCAGATATAGCATTAGTAACAGACATTAAAGGTGTATGAAGTGCACTTGTAACATTCCAAATAACATAATATCCAACAATAATAGCAAGTACAAATGACATAAATGCTGTAACAAACATTTCTGGCATAAATAACATAAATATAACAAGAAGAATTATACAACCAAACCCAATAATTTTTCCAATAGGGAATGATTTTTTATTTTCTTCTTCAGTTGAAAGAGTATTAATATTTTCAACTTTCTTTGCTGGTGTATTTTGACTAACAACTTGGATTTGAGGTGCTGGCCACATTTTTTGTCCTGCAGAACAAACTACCATTTGTCTAACAATTGGTTCTTCAAGTTTAATAGTAAAATCACTTGCTTTCTTACAAATTAAATTTAAGAAATTAAATATATTTTGAGAATATAATTGAGATGCTTGTGGTGACATTTTAACTGTATAATCAGTTTGTCCAATAATGGTAATTCTATTATCATAAAGATATGTTTCTCCACTACGAGTTACTTCACAATTTCCTCCATTAGCAGCTGCTAAATCAACAATAACTGATCCTATTTTCATTGAATCAACCATATCTTGAGTAATTAAAATTGGTGATTTCTTGCCTGGAACATTTGCTGTTGTAATAACAATATCAGTTTCTGGTAATAATTGTCTAAATAATGCATATTCGGCATCAATAAGTCTTTGGGATGCTGCATTTGCATATCCAAATTTATTTTCTGCATCTTCATCTACACTTACTGTACAAAATTCAGCTCCTACTGATTCAGCTTGTTCTTTTGCTGCTTTTCTAGTATCAAATGCTTTAACTTGTGCTCCAAGTGCTTTAGCAGTAGAAATAGCTGCAAGTCCTGCAACTCCAACTCCAATAACAAGTACATTAGCTGGTTGTGATTTACCAGCTGCAGTAACTTGTCCCATAAGTAATCTACCAAATTTATTTGATGCTTCAATAACACATCTATATCCTGCAAGATTATTTTGTGATGATAATGCATCCATACATTGTGCTTTAGATAATCTTGGTACACAATCCATTGAAATAACATTAATTCCTTTTTGAACTGAAAGATCAAGTAATTTAGAATTCTTTGCTGGATAGAAAAATGAAATTAATGTTTGTCCTTGTCTCATTTTATTAATTTCTTCTTCACTTGGTGGATTTACTTTACAAATAATATTTGATTTTTCATATAATTCTTCTGTTGTTTCAGCAATACGACATCCAACACTTCTATAATCTTCATCAGTACATGATGATAATAAACCTGCTCCAGATTCTACATAAATACCATACCCTCTTGATCTAAGTTGTTTACAAACTGATGGAACCATAGCAACCATTTTTTCTGGTACATTTTCTTTTGGAATACCAATAAATAAATCTTCTGCAAGAACTTTTGTTGGAATTTCTTCTTTTTCTTGAGATAATAATCCTGTTTTTTCTGAATAATTTACTTCTCCATTTGTTGTAGTTGAATTATTTGTTAATTTTTTAATTTCTTCATTTAATTCTTCAAATCCTTTCTTACAATCACTTAAGAACATTCTTGTATTAGAATAGAAAAATAATGGATTATCTACTGCTGCATATCCTTGATTAAGAGATCTTTTATTAACTACACATACTTTAGCTTTATAAACATCAATAATTGGCATTCCAGCTAATGGTGATGTTGGGTCAGTTTCTGCTATTGGATTAACTGTATCATTTGCTCCAACAACAATTGCAACATCAACATTTTCTAAATCTTCTGCTTCTTCCATTGCAAATACAATTTTATATGGTACATTAGCTTCTGCAAGTAATACATTCATATGTCCTGGTAATCTTCCTGCAACTGGATGAATAATAAATCTTACTTCTTTTCCTGCTTTAATTAATTCTTCTGCAAGACTAGCAACTACATGTTGTGCTTTTGCAACTGCCATTCCATATCCTGGAACAATAGCAATGTTATGTGCTTCCATTAAAAGTTTAGCAAGTTCTGGTGTTTGAATTGTATTAGCTTCTTTAGGTCCTTCATCTTCTTGGTTTCTTGTTTTAGATGGTGTTGCTCCAAATCCTCCAAAAATAACTGACATGAATGATCTATTCATAGCTTTACACATAATATATGATAAAATAGCTCCTGATGATCCAATTAATGCTCCTCCAACAATCATAGCATAATTATTTAATAAGAATCCTGATGCTGCTGTAGCCCATCCTGAATATGAATTTAACATTGAAACTACAACTGGCATATCAGCACCTCCAATAGCCATAACCATATGCCATCCAATAAAGAATGAAATAATTATTACAACAATTAAAATACCTCCATTAATATAAACTGAATATGTTTCTAAATTACTAATAAGTGTAGAATCATTAAGAGTTAAATATTCAAAAATAATATATGGAATGCATAATAAACATCCAAAAATAACTAATCCTGCATTTAAAACATGTCTGAAATTTCCTCCAATAATAAGTGGTTTAGATCTAATGATTCCTTGTAATTTTCCAAATGCAACAATAGATCCTGTAAATGTCATTCCTCCAATAAAAATACCTAAAACTGTTTCAAGTCCAATCATAACTAAATATGAAAATTGATTTTCTTCAGTATATTTACTATGATCATTATTATATGCTTCTGCATCTTTTAACCAATGTGCTATTCCTACAAATACTGCTGCAAGTCCTACAAATGAATGAAATCCTGCTACTAATTGTGGCATTTGAACCATTTCTACTCTTGATGCAATAAAAATACCAATACATGCTGCTGGAATTAAAAATCCTAAATATCCAATAAGTAAATATATAATACTTGTTTTTCCTGTTTCTTCTCCATAAACTTCTGGATCAAAATAATCTCCAATCTTATCTACAACTGCTGCAATAAAAGCAACAGTCATTCCAATAATTCCATAGATATTTCCCATTTTTGCACTTATTTGTGTTGATAATCCTCTCAAAGCCAGAATAAAACAAAGAGAAACAATAATATTCCCAACTGAAACAAAATTATTTATAATCTTCATATAATTGAACACTTCTTCTTCAATACTAGAACTTGTGCTCATTTATTTAGAATGTTATTATCTATTTTTTTTTTCTCTTTAAATACTCTTCTCCTCTTTAGACTCGTTCTCTTTTCATCTAATGAATTTCAATTGAAATCGAATTCATTCATTCATATCATTTCGAATATCGTATGTATCGAATATCTTTCCTTCATTTCTATAAATATTTCACTAATAAATCTTTAAAACTCCAATTTTTGAATGGTTTAAACTATTAACTTTGGTCATTTCATCTCAAATTCAATCTTTTAACGACCTCTTGTTATTAATAACTGCCCTAATTATTCCTTCAAGACAGTATTTTTTTTAACTCTTATCAAGAATCTATTCTTAACAAATTCCATTGAACTTTCACTTTTTGTTTTCTTTGAATTATGTTTTTTTTATTGAAGTTTTTCTTTCCATTAAATAACTTCATCCCATTTTTTTGTCTTTCTTTGATTTTATTTTATTTTCATTTGATTTTTTATTAATTTTCTTTGTAATAAACATTAATTCTTGATACATTTATCAATTAATTTTATATTTTTTTGTTTGTTTAGTTAAATCAATTAAAATACTTTTGAAGTTAATGACGATGAATATCATTAGATATTATAAAAACTAATGAGACAAGCAAAAACTATTTTATCAGTGTATTGTTTTGATTGGCAAATTTTAAAATATCATAAAGACATGTAAAACATAAAATCAAAAAAGTCTTAATTTAGTTAGCTTTGAGATTGTTGACAACAAAGAAGATTGATAATAAAACAAATATATGTTGATAACTTAAGTTTATATAAAACATAAAAGATTTTATCACTAAATTAATTAAACAATAACACAACTTTTTACTTTTGACCTTTTATGAGGTTCTATTGATTTTAAACCACCATAACTTTTATTAACCTCTTGAATATGAGTATCATAAAAGACTTTAAACTCAGAATCATTTTGAAGAAGATATCCAAGACAATATTTTTGTAACATTTCTTTTTTATTGTCATTAGCATTTAATTTAAGATGATAAAACTTATAGTTTAATGTCATTTCAATAATGTCTTGTTCTGTGACAACACTACTTTCACTTTCATCTGTTATTCCTATGACAACTATTTTTGTTAATTGGCATTTTTGATGAATAAATGGAATTTGAACTTTCAGAAATTGAATAGATTCCTTGTCATTAACATCATAAATACAAAATAAAATTTGAAATCCTCTAATAGACGATGGATTTGAAATACATTGTTCAATATGAAGTGTTGCATTAACTTGACAGATTATCTTTCTATCAAAAATAAGAAATTCAAAATTCTCATAGTCACACCCTTGACTCTCAGGAATAAGTTTTCCTGTAAATAACTCATAAAGGTCATATGAGTCAGTATAACCAACTAATTTTGAACGTAAGAGGTAAATCATCTTTTTTCAAGTAATTATTTTGTGAGAATAAAAAGAATCAGATAAGTGTTTATTTAGGGACAAATATTCTTCTTTATGAGAACTATTCTCTAAAAATAATTGATAAAATCACAAAGAAAGTTGATGGTAGAGAAAGTCCATTGATTGACAAGTAGTTATGTGCGTAAGTAACAACAATTTTTCATATAAGAATAAAAAGTGATATTATAATTTGTTTTCCTTAAAAGTTAAAAACCTGAAAAAAAAAAACAAAAAAATGATTCAATGAGTTTCTTTAACCCAATGGTCAATCAATCATTCACAGGGTCTTCAAATTTGAAATTAACAAATGGGATAATGCAGTCACTTGGAAAACAATCAAAATACACTAATAAACCACAACCTATTGTCAAAACAAACACACTTCCAAAATCTTTTACCGCAGGTGTTAAAACAAAAAGCTCAATAAGGACTTTAAGTGAAATTGTCCAATCTAATTCAAAGAAAGAATTTAATTATCACCTTAGTTCTGATCAAGAACTTGTGTTAAAAGCAGCATTAGAAGGAAAATCATTCTTTTTTACTGGAGCTGCTGGATGTGGTAAGTCATATGTGTTAAGTGCAATTGTTGAGAAATTAAAACATGACAAAGAAGTTTATGTTACAGCAAGTACTGGAATTGCTGCATGTAATGTTAATGGAATGACGATACATTCATTTTCAGGAATTGGAAAAGGTGAAGGGAGTAGTTCTGAATTATGGGATAAAGTTAAAAGAGATAAAAAGGCATTAAAAAAATGGAATAAAGTTGAGGTATTAATTATTGATGAAATTTCAATGATTGATGGTGACTTATTTGATAAACTTGAATTTATTGCAAGGAAAGCGAGAAATAATAATTTAGCATTTGGTGGGATTCAAATGATTATATGTGGTGATTTTTGTCAACTTCCACCAATATCAAGGAATGGAACAACTAAATTTGCATTTGAAAGTAATTGTTGGAATAAGGTTATTCCATATTGTTATTATTTAACTACAGTTCATAGACAAAATGATCAAAAATTTATTACTTTATTAAATGGTATTAGAATAGGTGAAATTAATGATGAAATGATAAATTGTCTTAAAGGATGTTGTGATAAAGAATGTAAACAACAATGTACTCACTTATTATCTTATATTAAAGAAGTTGATGATGTTAATACCAAAGAACTACAAAAGTTACAAGGAAATGAAGTAGTTTATCATTCAGTTGATACTGGAAACTCAATTTATTTAACTTCAATGAAGATTACTGATGAACTACATTTAAAAGCAGGAGCATTTGTAATGATTAATAAAAATATTGATGTTGAACGTGGTCTTGTAAATGGAAGTGTTGGGGTTGTTATTGGTTTTGATGAAACTTCATTATTTTCTGGACAACCTGTTCCTATTGTTCAACTCAGTAATAGAACATTACCAATTAGTGAATGTAGTTGGGATATTGAATTAGGAAATCAACTTGTTGCAAAAAGAAGTCAAATTCCATTACAACTGGCATGGGCTATTTCTATTCATAAAAGTCAAGGAATGACATTAGAACGTGCAGTAATTAGAATTGACAATGTATTTGAAACTGGACAAGCATATGTTGCTTTATCAAGACTAAAATCACTAGATGGACTATATATTGAAGGAAGTGTAATAAAAGAAAGAATTAAATGTAATGAAAAAGCAAAAAAATTTGACCTGTTTATTAAAAACGGAAGATACAACGCCCAATTTGGAGATAAAACAAAAGGAGTGACTGACAAAGATATTATGGTAATTGAAGATGATACTACATCAATTCATGAAAACAACACTACTACACACAATTTAGAAATTATGCCACCTCCACGTAAGAGTTGTGCATCACTCATGGATTTTGAAGACGAAGAAGATGATGATGGGTTTGTTATGATAGAGTCACTACAAAATGATATTTTAATAAATAAAGCAGAACAAACAAATAATAAAAATGATTTAGAGAGAACTAAAACAGAATTAATACCACAAAAGAAAAGTGTAATTAATACAAAAATATTCACTGAATTAGAAAATGATTGGGAAGACATTGACATTGATGATGATATCCCAATCAAACCAAGAAGAACAACTACTCCTATACTTTCTTCAAATGACCAACAACCAAAAAAGAAACCTTTATTTTCTTCAGAATTATTTAACAGAGGAAATAGTAAAATTTATATAGAAGCACCTCAAAACTTATTAAAAGACCATGAAAGAAAAAGTGGAAGACTATCATTTTCATCACATCCTCCTAATTTAGAAGGGATTAAAAGACCTCACCAACCCCCAACAAACGACTTACTCCCACCTACACACCAAACATTTGAAGAGTTAACCACAAGCAAAGAAGAACAAAATGAAAGTTTAGATCAAGAGGATAAAACAAATTATTTAGACATAACTGAAGGTTGGGGAAATAGTATAAATGAAGAGTGTTGTTATATTAATGAGTTTGAAGACAATGAGGGAGAGAATTTAGAAAAATCATTAAATGAAGATGATATGTGGATGAAATTATATGGAAAGGATATATTTGAAGGAAAATGTTGTAGTTATAATGAAAATAAGTCAAATACTGTAGGGGCAAATAGAAAGTCTTCTGAAATTGATTCAGAATCATATGAACCAAAAAAGAAAACACAGACTATTGAAGATTTATTGAATGAAAAAGAACCAGAAAATATTCATCCTTGTGGGAGTAAGACAGATCCTATTAAAATAGATGACTTTGATATAGAAAATCATGAAGAATAAAATGTATTGTTAAATTAAAATTTTGTGTTATATTTTCTTTTATTCTTTTTTCTTCTATATTTCTTTCTTAAATAAAAAAAAATGAAAAAATAAAAGAAATTTTAAAAGATCTCACTTAAGCAATTCAATTCTATGAACACTTTGATGAAACAAAAAATAGTATTTCTTGGAGATTCTTCTGTTGGAAAGACATGTATTATTGGAAGGTTTATGAATGGTGATTTCAATACTGGATATGAAGTTTGTAGTTATTTTTTTTTATACATATTCTTATTAACTCTTGTGCTTATCTCATAGGCAACAATTGGTACTGACTTTTCTACTAAAACTATGACATTTCAAAATAAATCCATTCAACTACAAATTTGGGATACTGCAGGACAAGAACGATATCGATCACTAATTCCAAGTTATATTAGAGATTCATCAGCAGCAGTGATAGTTTATGATATTAATGGTTTGGTGTTTTTATTTCTATTGTTTTTGTATTAGGTTGATAAAGAAAACCATTTAAATAGAAAGAGAAGAATTTTGATGAATAAGTTACTTTTCCAAATGAATAAAAAGATTGACTTAATGTAGATAGACAAAGTTTTGAGAGTGTAGATAAATGGATTGAAGATGTACGTTCAAAAGAAAAAGGAGAAATTTTCTTATTTTTGGTTGGAAATAAATTAGACTTAGGACATCGAGAAGTTACACAAAAAGAGGCATTGGCAAAGGGACAAAACTATCAGTGTATGTGCTTTGAGACAAGTGCTAAAACTAATATTAATATTACTGAATTATTCAATGCAATCACAGAAAAATTAAGTACATTAGAGCCACCAGTTGAAGAACATATTGAGACTGTTTCACTTGGAAGTAAGAAAGCTGAGAATGAAAGCAACGGAGGATGTTGTTGAGTTTGTAATTTCAAAATAATACAATGACAAAATTTTAAGTTTTTCATTCGTTATAAATAACAATAAAAGAAAATAAAAAAAAAGAAAAAGAAAAACTAAAAAGTTTTAAGATTGTTGGGGAAGTTAAAGGTAATGTCAGAGACAAATCCCCAAGACAATGATGTTATGGTTCAAAACCAAATTATAAAAGAAGTCTACAATAAAACAGAACCATTTGCAAGATCATTTAATGATGAAAAGAAATGGAAAGATATTACTGTAGAATTTAAAAAGTATTATAATGAAGAAATAAAACAAGGAGAATTTAAAGGAGATGAGAAATTAAGTTTGGCTAAGGTATTACATTCAGTCGAAGTATTTAATCCATTTATGGATGTTGGACATTTACTTAAAGATAATTATCGATCAGAAGAATTATTTGAAGCAGGAAAAATAAAAGAAATTGAAAAATTTGAAGATAAAGAGTTAATAGAATTATTTGATTCATTATTTATATTAGAACAATTATATTTTCATGGGAAAATGTGGAATCATACAATGAAATGTTGTGATTATGTTAATTTAGTAGAAAAACTTAATAAAGAAAGTATAGGATATGTTATTGTTATTTCAGAATTAAAAACATGTTCATTATATTATAAAATGGTAATGTCAATTGGAGTAGAAGAAGAAGAAATGGATTTTAGTGAACAAGGGAATCAATTTATTACAGAAATGGGAAATGATAAATTCTATTCCATGATTGATGAAGTACTTAAAAAAGAAATTAGTAAAAAACTTAAAGAACGACTTGAATTTAGAAAAGAATATATAAAGGCATTAGAAGACATTGGAAATAAAAAAAGTACAACACTTCCAAAAATACCAGAAGATATGAAAACAACAGAAAAAAGATTTATTAGAGAGAATTTATATGCTAGAGATATAACATTTGTACCAAATATAAGAAGATATGAAATACCAACACTTGAAGAAATAAAGAAAATATATGAAAAAGATGCAGAAGAAATTAGAAAAACAAATGAATTAATGCCTAAAGAAAGAATAATGGTAGCATATTGTGGAATACATAAAATATTTATGTGTCCAATAAAGAATTTAATAGTTAGATATATTATTAGAGAATATGTATTAGATAATATTCAAGAAAAAATAAAAAAAGGAATGAAAGAAGTTGGATTAAATCAACAAAGAATTGAAGTTGATAAATTATTTTATGAAAGACTAGGAATGGTATTTGGTGATATTATTAAAATGATGACACATAATCAATCATACTTTTATCGTAGTTTTTCAATTTTACTTGAAGTATTTGAAATGACACATAATGATGCATATCAATTTGATTTACAACAAATACAAAAATATCCACCACCAACATTTAAACCACAATTTATAATGCCAGGACATTATATTAATGGATATCTTATGCAAATTAAATTTTCATTAATGATTAAATATCTTTTAATAGGTATTTCATTAAAATTATACAGTGATTATGAATATCATATGATTTATTGGTATATCTCTATTTTATTTAGTATGTCATATGAACATTTAAATGAATTTAGAATACAATTAGATATGGATAGAAGAATGTATTCAATATCAAAAAAATCAAAGAATATTAAACCATCAAAATTAACACCAAATATGGAACAATTAACTATATTGTTATACAAGACATTAATAAGTGGAATTACTAAACTCCTTTTAGCATTAAATAAAATGAATATTATTAAATCACCAGAATTTTTACTTGGTAATAATAAATATCGTTATGAACTTAGATTTTCTGCATTTGAAAAATGTCATACACCACAATATATTCCATTTGAAAAATATGAAGAACAACGTACTAATAACATTCAACCAGGATTAATTATTATCGACTCTATTAATGAATTGAAAAAATGTAAAGAAATTATTGAAGAAATTAAATTGAATAATAAAAATAATTATCTTCCTAATGAAATGGTTGGAATGTTATATAAAATATCAATGTCTAATATGTTAACTGCAATGAAATTAATGAAAATTCATCCTACTTCAACAACAAAAGCAGTATTTTCATTTGATGATATTGACTATCTTCCAATAATTTCTATTAAAGATAATTGACTTCTTTTTCTTTAAAAACTTATTTATTAAATAAATATCAATCAATCGTGAATTAAATTTGGCATTTCTTCTTGAACCAATTCATGTTCTAAAGAAAGAACTGAACGAATGAAAGGTTTTGTTGTATAAACTAGTTCAGCAAAAAGTACATACTTTTGTTTTTTGTTATGTACACAACTACTTGGATGAATATGAACGATTTTTTGAGTTGTTGTAAGATAGGTATTATCTGGTTGTCTAATAGCTACATTATCTGGAAATCCAACCAAAAATGCTTTTTTGATACTTTTAATAATTGGTTCTGGAATTGCTTCATTAATAATATTTTTCATATTTTCTTCAGTGCATTGTTCTTTTGCAGTTGATCCTTTTAATTCTTTATCCAATACCCCAACACAATACTGAACCAATTGGTCATGTGTAGATAATGCTGTATTTAATGCTTTATAATTTAATGCATTTTCAACACACCATCTTTTTCTTCTATTAACACCAACTTTCTTAAAAGCTAAATACAAAGACAATAACATAAAATGATCACCATTATCAGATGAATACATTCTCATTGATTGTTGTGCTTTCTCTCTAATAGAAGGTGCTGAAACAAAAAACTGTGTATCAACAGCTAACATAGCAACAATACATAAAATATGTGCAAGACAATTAGATTGTGCTGCCGCAATTATAGTTCTAGCAAATGGAGGGGCAACAGGAAGAGCAACCATAACTTTACCCAATGGAGTGATATGACCATTTTCTAATGCTCCTAGTTTAGATAAATTAATTTCTGCTCTAGAAATACTATCTCCTGATGGTGGTTGAAGAAAATCAAATTGAGTCACATCAATAACATTTAATGCTTTTAATTGTAAAACTACACCATCTAATGAACATCGTTGAATTTCTGGTGTTGTGGTTGCATTAAATTCACTAAATCTTTTTGATGTATATAATCTATAACATTGTCCTGGAGCTTCTCTTCCTGCACGACCAGCTCTTTGCATTGCTTGAGCTTTAGAAACCCAAGTAGTCCTAAGAGCCTCCATTCCTATTTTTGATTGGTATTCTTTTTCTTTGACAAGACCTGTGTCAATAACAAATCTCATTCCGGGAATAGTAACAGATGTTTCTGCTATATTTGTACTAAGTACAATCTTTCTTGTATCTGGAGGAGGTGGTGAAAAAATAAGAAGTTGTTGTTCTGGTGGTAATGCAGCGTATAAAGGAAGAACTTGAATTGGCTTTACTGTTGCTGGAGCATTCTTCATTCGTTCGAGTAATGCAGCTTCAACAGATTCAATGGCATCTTGACCAGGTAAAAATACCAAAATATCTCCTGGACCAGCACTCATATGAAGCTGTAATATAGCAGTAATAGAAGCGTCAACAGGAGAATCTTCAGATTCAGTTAAATGAAATAATTCAATAGGATGTTGTCTTCCTGCAATTGTTAATGTTGGACTAGAAAAAAAATTACTAAATAATTGGGAGTCTAAAGTAGCACTCATAACAACTACTTTTAAATCTTTTCTTCTTCTTAAAATTCCTCTTAACAATCCAATAAGAATATCTGTATGAACTGTTCTTTCATGAGCCTCATCTAAAACAATCACTCCATAAGATTTCAAATCAGGGTCAAGTAACGCAGTTCTCAATAACATACCATCAGTAAGATATTCTATCTTTGTATCTTTTGACATCTTTTCTTCAAACCTAACTCGATAACCAACTGTAGAACCTACACGACATCCTACTTCTTTTGAAACACGTTCTGCTAAAGTAATAGCAGCAACTCTTCTTGGTTGAGTAACTCCAATTTTCTTTCCTTCACAAATGTTTGATTCCAAAAGAAATTGAGGTAATTGAGTAGTTTTACCACACCCAGTTTCACCAACCACAACCATTGTTTGATGTTTTTTTAATTCAGAGAGAATATCATCTTTTGATTGTCGAATTGGTAATTGTTCTCTTTGTCTTAATAATGCCACACGTTCTTTACTAAGAATAATTGGTTTATTAGGAGTTGTTTGAGTCATATAAACAAAAACAATAATGTTAGTTGAATAAGAAAGAAAACCCTAATTTTTGGATAAAAAAGAGTTAATTTTTTATTTTTGATGGAACAGGATATCTTATATAATCTTCTTTTGTTATTTCAACGTATTGTTGCATTAAAGTAGTTTTCATAAATGTTTTTAAGAATTGTTTAATATCTTCATTAGAATGTCGAAAATATAAATGTTCATCAAAATAAGCATCTAATGTATTAAGATTTTCTTGTAATATAATATATTTATTGACTTGACTATAAATTGGGAATAAAAATAAATTAAATGCACTTTTAATTGCATTTCTTTGTTCTCTTTTTTCTAAAGTTATAGAATGTTTAATTGATTCATATAAAATATTAAATGATCTTATTGGAAATGAATCAATATCTGTTTGAACTAACTTTATATCAGTAGCTTGAACAGTTAATGTGTCAATATTAAAAACAACTACTTCATTTGATACTTGTATAAATTCATTTGTTTTCATTCCAATAATAAAAGGTAAAGGTGATTGAAGTAATGATACCATAGAGACAGGGAGGTGAGTTATAATAATATGTTGCCATTCAAATGGAATAAGTATTTCTAATAATAATAAAACAACAACAGAAAATTCACTTGGATTTTGTCCAATTACTACAACTCTTCGTTCATTTAAAATACTTGCAAATAAACATCGTAATGTATTTTCTGATATTTTTGAAAGAAAACTAAAAGCATCAGTTTGAATTGATTGATTAATATTATTAAACTGAAAATTGATTTGTGCTTCTGGATAATATAAAGATGATGTTGAAGGTTGAATATTGTAATGAATAAGATAATTAATAGTTTGATAAAAAAGTGGTTTATTGTCAATATATAAGTGTTTGATAATATTTATTAAATATCGAAAACAAGTGACCCAAACCCTATATGTTAATTAATTAATTAATTCTTCCATTAAAGTACAAACCTATGACTAAATATAAGTGTTGAGTGTGTTTGAGTTAATCCATAGAAATGACCATACCATCTACAATTATTTTGATCAGTAAAAACAATAACTTCATATTGATTTTCTTTTATATTTTGACAATATTCTTTAAAATGTTTAGGATATTCAAACAATTCAGGAATAACTTCTTTTGAATTAGAACCAGATTCAAAGATAATAATACCATCAAGTAAATGTGGATTTGTTTTCATGTTTGAATAAACTAAAATTTTTAAGTAATAAAAAGTTCAATTGATTTTTGTTGTTGTAATACTATTTTAAACCTTTTCTCTACTATCTATTTGAATTGTAGTATCAATCTTTTTTGTTTCAGGTTCTTCTCCTTCACTTGAACGCTTTTTTTTATCAGGAAAATATACAGAATTTTTCTTAATCCATTCACAGTCTAACATTGCTGCAATACTAGCTCTTTTAAGTGGATCAACAATAATCATTGATTTGATTAATTCTTTAGGTTCTTTGGAAACTACATCCCAAATGGCATCTTTAAAATTGAATTGAGCGTCTTTAATTTGTTTATATAATAAATTTTCATCTTCCATACTAAATGGATGTGTTCCAGATAATATAATGTATAATATAATTCCTATTGACCATATATCACACTCTTTTGTATATTGTAATCTTCCAGATGTTGGTAAAATAACTTCTGGTGCTGCATATTGAGTAGTTCCACAGGATGTAGTTCCATATTGTGCAATTTTAGCCATTCCAAAGTCAGCAATTTTAATTGTAGGATATGGCTTATTCTCTTTTAATAAAATATTTTCAGGTTTTAAATCTCTATGGATAATATGTTGAGAATGAAGATAATTCATTCCTTCTAATAATTGCATAAAAATAAATGCTCCTTCATGTTCATCCATCTTTCCTGTTGTTATAATTCGACTAAATAAATCAGCTCCTTCACAAAAGTCAACTTCAAATATTGTATTTTGTTTAGTTTCAAAACATTCTCTAAATGACACAACATTTTCATGTTGTATTTTTTTCATTATTTCTAATTCTCTTCTTGAAATTTCATCTAATGTAAATCTTTCTCTTGTTTGATTGAGAATTTTTAAAGCAACAACCGAATTAGTTGATTTAATAATTGCTTTATACACTTTACTATATTGTCCACTAACATATCAATACTCTTTTTTTTTCTTCTTTCATTTTTCTTTGTTAATGAGAGTAACAAACTCACCAAGTCTTTTAATAATATTATATCTGTCATAACACATTAAATCAACTCCTTTAACAATAACTTCACTTGGAATATTTATACATTCAGTAGAAAAAGTAATATTATAAAAATCATCTATAAATGAATATTTATAATATTACTTTTATAATCATTCTTATAAATTAACAAACTCGGTGCCATGTTTATTGATATTTTATCATCAAATGGTATTATAACATTATTTCCTTTTCCAATGTCTTCATCTTTATATTGAGTACCATTTGAACTAGTATCATAGATTATAATATTTTTCATTTCTTTTGATTGAACCTTTATAGTACAATGAAAATTACTTATCATTAAACTACTTAAAACAATATCACATGATTTATGTCTTCCAATTTTTATTCCATTTAATGCCTTCTCAAGTGAAAATGTTTTAATCCGTTTATCTTCATAATTATCAATTATAATAATAGTAAATTGAGACATTCTATCATTAATGAGTTTCATTCCTCAATAAATGGATAGAATATAATAAAATAATAGTATTTTTATAATAATTTATTGTTTAATTGTTTCATTGTAAAAATGTTGAATTTTTTTTAATAATTTTCAGAAAAAAAATAATAAAACTATAAATTTTAATAAAAAGAATTAAAATAAATGATTTTATGAACTGAAAAAAAGACAAAGGGTTACTAGAAAATTGATCAAAAAGGAAAACATGTCCAAGTGCAGACTTCACGTTAATGCTGTGTTTATGGGATTCCAACGTGCTCAAAGAAATCAATACCCAAACGTTGCTCTTCTTCAAATTAGTGGAGTAAATACAAAAGAAGATACCCCATTCTACATTGGAAAACGTGTTGCTTATGTTTACAAAGTAAATGTCAAGAAAGGAAGTAATAAACCAGCTATTCGTGCTATCTTTGGTAAAATCGTTGCACCACATGGAAATCATGGAGTTGTTAAAGCAAGATTTTTACACAACCTTCCACCAAAAGCAATGGGACAAAACCTTAAAGTTTTCCTTTATCCATCAAACATTTAAATTGAGACGTTTGGATTAATTTACGTGTTTACTTTATTTGTTTCTTTTAAGAGAAAATTTATTACATCAAACAAATTCTTTACTTTCTTATTAACACAAAGAAATTACTTAAAAACTTAACTGTTTTTGAATAAACCTTTTTTATTTTTTTTTTATTTTATTTTTTAATACATTTTAAAAGAAGATAAACCCTTGTTTTAATCATTATGAATTAGAACTTGATTTCCATTAATTATGAGTCGTATTATTATTAAGAATCTCCCTGAACGTGCAGACGAAAAAATTCTTAAACAACAATTCGAAAAATTTGGTGGAATTACTGATTGTAAAGTTATGCGTACTCCTCAAGGAAATTCACGTAAATTTGGTTTTATTGGTTTTGAAAATGAAGATCAAGCACAAACTGCAATAACAAAAATGAATGGAGCTTATATTCAATCTTCAAAATTACAAGTTTCATTGGCAAAAGCTATCGGAGATCAAACTATCGAAAGACCTTGGTCAAAATATAGTGTTGGATCATCATCATTTTCTAACGACAAAAAAAGAAAAGTTATTCCTACAAAACATGAAACACAAACAATTAAAAAGAAGAAGGATTCTTCAAGTCTTGATGAATTAAAAAAAATAGCAAATGAAAGAAAACCTAAATTAGATAACGGTAAGAAAAAAAAATTTGATTCAGAAGAAGATGATCAAAATAATCAACATATGGAGGAAGAAGAAGAAATAATTAATGAACAAGAACATCAAAAAAGTATGGATGAAATTGATGTTAAAGATTGGGAAGAAGGAAGGATTTATATTACAAACCTTCCTTTTAATTGTACAGAAGATGATATTAGAAAAGAATTTGATCGATTTGGTAATATAGCAGAAATACATCTTCCAATTGATAAAATCACGAAAAAGTCAAAAGGATTTGGTTTTGTTTTGTTTGTCGTTCCTCAAGATGCAGTAAAAGCTTGTAATGAAATGGATAATAAATTTATCAAAGGAAGAATTGTTCATGTGACATATGCTAAAGCTGATCCATATTCAAATCAACAAGTTGGAGAAAGTAAAAATTATAAAGAAAAGAAACAAAATGAATTAAAGGCTAAAGCAGGAAACCAATTTAATTGGTCAACATTATATATGAGACAAGATACTGCAGTAAGTGCTGTAGCAGAAGAATTAGGAATGAAAAAAGAAGAGATTTTAGATGTTAATGCTGAGTCAATGGCTGTTCGTGTTGCTTTAGCAGAAAACTATGTTATTAATCAAACAAAAAAATGGTTAGAAGAAAATGGAGTTAATTGTACTGTTTTAGAAAATGGAATGAAAGAAAAATGTAGTAATAATATTATTATTGTTAAGAATATTGCAGCAAGTGCTATTGAGTTGGAAGTAAAAAGTTTATTTGAAAAGTTTGGAACCTTAAAACAATTTTTAATGCCAAAAAGTAAGGCATTGGCATTAGTAGAATTTGAAGTTGCAAATGACGCTAAAACTGCATTCAAAAGATTGGTTTATTCAAGGTATAGAGGTATTCCTTTATATCTCGAATGGGCTCCAGAAAAAGTCTTTGACGAAGAGAAAGTTAATAAAAAGATGGAAGAAGAAAAACTTACACAAGAAAAACAATCAAAAACAATTCAAAAAGAAGAAGACACAAAGAAAAAAGAAGAAGATAAAAAGAAACAAGAAGAAGATAAAATTACTACTAAAAGTAACCAAACAGAACTTGTGGAAGAAGGCAGCAAGACATTGTATGTTAAAAACATTAGCTTTAAAACAAAAGAAGATGTTATTAGAAAAGTCTTTGAAAAATGTGGAAGAGTTTTGGCAATTACTTTGTCTAAAACAAAAGATAAGAAGGTTGAGAAGAATTCTGGGTTTGGTTTTGTTGAATACGCTAAACATGAAGATGCTATCAATGCCATTAAAACGTTACAAGGAAAAGTTATTGATGGACATGCAGTTCAGATCGAAATATCTCAACCTAAAGTCAAAGATGAAGACCATAAAGAAAGAAAAGAAATTGAAGAACACAAAGTATCAAATAAGTTGTTAGTTAAAAATGTACCATTTGAAACAAATATTAAAGAAGTTAGAGAATTATTTAGAACATATGGTACTCTTCGTGGTGTGCGTCTTCCTAAGAAGGTTGATGGACAAAATAAAGGTTTTGCCTTTGTAGAATACGCTACAAAACAAGAAGCTGCAAATGCTATGGCAGCCCTTAAAAATAGTCATTTCTATGGTAGGCATTTGATCATAGAATATGCCAAAGATACTGAATTAGACTAAGTTCTATAAGATTGAAATTTAATGATTTTGTGAGATGAAAAAATGAATGAGGTTTCGATTTTTTGTTAAAGACAATTTTTTAAGACTTTTCTCAAATTTTCTTAAATAAAAATTTAAGAAAATAAAAGTTTATCTTATTGTTTATAAAGAGTTAATAATGTTCAAAACAGGAGATATAAAAGAAAGTACTAAAAATGTAGGTATGAAAGAAAAAATAAAGGATTATAAAAAGAGTTAGATAAAAATAGTTTTTTGAGAAGAAATAACACTGTTTCATTTGAATAACAACCCAAAATTTCAGTCATTAATTTATGTATTAAATTTTGATTTATCTTAAAAATGTTTCAAGTTCAGATTTAAAATAAAAGAAGAAAGGAAGGAAATATATTCACAAAAAATTGTAAAGACAAAGTAAGAATGGAAATGCGATACAATGAAATAATGAATAAGATAAAGTAATTTGATGATATTAATTGTTTTATTAATTTAGAAATTTGTATAAAAAAATATTTTAATGAAACATCAACACTTTCATTTTAATCTATTTCATTTAAATCATTATTCAAGAATATTATTATATAATATTGAAACATTTCATAATTATAATGAAAATGATGAAATATTTGAAGATTGAAGAATAGTTAAATATGTAATATTCAATATAGTTAAAGGAGAATGAAGAATGAAATATATTTAAAATGTAGAATATATAAAATTGATAGAATATGGAAATACAATATTAATAGATATTAAATTCTTTAGAATTTAATTATTTTAAATATTATTATAAATTATCATTAATTAATACAACAACTAAGACTAAAAAACAAATATAGATAGTTTTATTTGTGTATTTCTTTAAAAGCAATGATTATTCCAACGATATTAATTGATTTAGGAAAGTCCTATTTATATTAATGTATGTCACCAATCATTATTAATATTAAATACAGAAAATATATAAACTTCCATAATATATTTTTTTTGAATAACCCACTTTTTGAGTTTTAAAATACCCCCAATATTTTAAAAAGGTAAATGAACAAAATATAAGCAAATTTAATATCAAAATAAGTGTTAAGAAATTAGGTAATTAATTAAGAATGCTTAAGTGAGTGTTTAACATCGACTTCATTTGCTTTATCAACTTTACTCTATGAATAAGGAGATGATTTTTATGACTGTAAAGCATTTAAACTAAATATTATTCAAAATTCAATAGTTAAAATGCATGAAAAATGTTTCAAAAGACGTTTTTAAGAGTCAAAAAACAATGGAATAATAAATAATAAAAAAGAAAATACTGACATAATATTAATTGATGAAAATGAAATAAAAGTTTTATAATAAAAATTAAAAAAGGAAATTTTTAGATAATTAAGATATATTTATTTCATACAATAAAGCTGTTAATTTACTTTTTTATTCAAAGATTCGATTTTAAATAATAAATAAATATATTTAATTATGAGTATTAGAATAAAATGTTTTAATATAATTTACTTTTTTATACTTCTCTATTGAATTTGATTATTATTTGAATATCATTAATATTCTTAGTGCTTGTTTATGTGTTTATTCTTTCATATTACTATTATAATGAATATTTTTATATAAATCAAGTTATCTTATTTCTATAATGAAGGTGTTTTGTATTATTTTGATTGTGTTTATAGAAGTTAATTCAATATTTGTATCTTGTCAATATAAGAATGTTAGAACTATTCTTGTATATTTATTAAATATTGATAATTGACATTTAGATTACTTCATGAATAGACTAATAATTAATTAACAATCATTAATATTGAGTTATTCTAAAAAAATGAACAAAAGTTAATAATTTAATCTTCAATTTCATTAGATGGTATTGTCCAAAATGAATAAAAAAGAGTCATAACTAATGAGCATAATGGGAATAAAATGAGTTTATCATTAGTTACTGATTGTTTTGTAACTAAGCAAAGAATGAAATAACAACTTGTATAAAGAATAAAATTCACAACACTTCGATAAATAAAAGGAATTTTAAGGAAAAACGAGTATGTTACAAGAACAATAAATGATGCAATAATACCATAAAGAAGTTGACGAGGCGAATGAAACCCATAAATGAGGGTATTATACATACATAAATAAGAAAAAATAATATAAAGAAGAAAACCAACAGAACACAAAATAATACGAACTGAAGATCTTTTATTATATTTATTAAATCTATTCGATCCTGAAAAGTAGTGAATTAAAGGAAAATAACAAATTGAAAAATGTCGTTTAAATGAAACAAATATTGAAGTATTTGAATGAGGTATAGAAGATAATAAATATAGAAAAATTCCAAAGAAATAAATAATAGTGAAATAATGACCACTAATTCCATTAAATTTTATTTTTCCAATTTCAGTACAATGTACATCATTTAAAGATATTTTTAGCATACAAATGATATAATAATTCCAACGATGAAAGACATATGTATTTAAAACATCAATAATTGAAGTAAAATAAATACAAAAATGCTCTAATTTAAGGTTAATATGAAAAATTCTTTAAAATGAACATAATAACCAAACTATCATATTCAATACATACTAAACAAGCAATTATTAATGAAACAATTACAGTCCAATATTGAGGATCAAGCATTTTATCTATTAAAGAAGGATAATATTTAAAACGAATTATATTACAACTATCACTTCCATTAATAATCCAAAAATAAAAGACAAAAATAATAATTGGAATATTATAACAAAGAAAAATATTTATTAATGATTTGTTGAACATTTTAAGAATTAAATATTAAGAAATTTTTCAATTTTTAAGTTTTTCAGTTATTTAATAACATAATTCCAATTATCAAACCCTATTTTTTTTTTAAGTTTTAAAAAAAAAACATAAAAACAATGAATAACATCATTGACAAACATCTTCATTTTAATCTCCCAAAAACACCTGAAGCAATCTTGAGTTGGGTTCAGTCAAGTGAAAAAAGTTCTAAAGAGTTATTGAGTTATTTAAATAAGAAAAATAGTTGTATTTCCAATGAACAATTAGAAAAATTAGAACAAAGCATTCGTCAAATTATTCAATTACCATTAAGTAAACCAGCGTATAATGCATATGGACATATTATTTATTTAATATTAATAAAATTAAATAAAGAAATTACAAATGAACCATTTGTATTACGAGCAAGTCTTAGTGATAAAAAAGAAATTATAAATGAGAAAGAAATGAAAAATATTATTTTATGTATTAAAAAAAGATCATTTGATGTTATTTCTTCAGTTATAGAATCATTAAATAGATATATTAAAAAACAAGGTAATTTGAGTCAAAGTATTCGTGATAATTTAGATGAATTAATTCAATTAATAAGAAATGAATTAGTATTAACTCAAGATAATAAAGAATGGGTTTTATTAAAAGAAGGTTATTTTGGACTTGTTAAATTCTTAAACGAAGAACAAAGTAAAAAAGAATTAATTAGCTCGACTTTAATTAGTTGGAATTGTAAAGGAAAGTATGTTATATTAGACGCTTTATCATCTAATACTAACACAATTATTACTTCTATTGTTCCACAACTTTTATTTAATGTTATTAAAGCTGTTGAAGAAACAACATATAAAACAGTTGCATTAAATTTATTGTCTCATCTTCTTAAAGAATGTATAATTTCATTTGAAGATGCTATTAATCAATTAAAGCAATATAACCAATTTAATGAATCAACAATGAAAATTATGAACATTCTTATTTCATTAAAACCTTCTAATAATCAAATTCAATTAGCAGCAAATCAACTTCCATTAGTTACTGCAGCAGCATTAAAAATGAATTCATATGATATGAATTCTATTATTTCATTTATTCCTTCAATAGAAAAAGAATTGAATATCTCTTTACAGAATGCATTAAATAAATCATTTCATCTTAGTATTGTTACTACATTATATAGTGATTTAACAAGAATTAATTATCATCAAATTGAAGTTAACGCTTCAAAAGATATTATTAAAGGATTATATGATTGTCCTACAGATGAAATACAAGTCATTACAACAATGATCCCAAAATTTATCTTAAGATGTTCAATAGAAGTTATTCAAGAATTATTTAATTTTATTTGTACTTTTATTGCACATCCATTTAATGAAAAGATTGATTGTTCTATTATACAAATATGTATTAATATTATTCAAAATAATAAAAGAAATGATATTAAACAAATCATTTCTCATTTTCTTTCAACTGAAGAAATTCAGTTATTGTTCAAAAGAAGTATTTTAAGTAGAACAGATAAACTTAGAACTATTGCTTTTTCTCTTTATTCATTATTAAATCTTTTTACTAAAATACATTATCAATACCTTCAAACTCAATTACAAAAATGTTGGATTAAAATTAAGTCACTACGTACATCAGAAGCTGATGCTGTTGCAAGAATTTTTAGTATTTTATGTTCATTTAAACCTTATCCTATAGTCACATCAAATAATACTATTCAATTCACTGGTTCTTCTCTTGAAGATTCTATTCATTCTGTGATTATTCAATTAAAAAATTCAATTGATAAAATTTTACCTTCCAAATGTGTTTCATATGAAGATGATTGTGTTTATGGATTATTTAGAATATTGCAATTACTTCATAAAGAAAAAGATGGTTTTACACTTGCAATTCAATTAATTGATTCAAGCGATTATTTATTAACTCTTCCTGCTCCTGAAGGTTCTGCTCCTGGAATGGTTGTTGGTGGATGGACTAGTGTTCGTGTTGCATCAGAAATAATTGCATCTCAATCTTCTTTAGATTTCACTCAAGCATCACAACGATTAGTACATATTCTTAGAACAGCACTTCATAGAGGAATATTTGAACGTGCAGCAGGTGCTTTAGAAATAGCATTACCGTATGCAAGTAATGAGTGGTTATCAGAACAAGTGAATAAAGTAGTTAATGAAATTGGATATGAAACTAAATTTACCAGAAGGTCTGCTGGATTACCATATCATCTTTCTGCATTATTAAATGAAGAGTGTAGAAGAATTAAACAACCAACAATGGCTCCACCATTATTAGAATATGTTATTAATACATTAACTCATTGTGATAGAAATTGTGCTATTCACTCAATGAATACTTTAGCAGGATTAATTAAATCTCAAAAGATTGCAGCAGAAATTGATTTGTTTTTCCCAGGAAAAGCATTAAATTACAGTTTTAAATATATAGATGATATAGATTGGTCTTTACGTAATTCTGCTTCAATACTTTCTGCTACAGTCATTAAACGAATATTTGCTACTCAAGAAAATTTCACCTTAAATCATCTTCTATTCTTAATTCCAAACTCTATTTCAGAGTTTAGTTCAGCATTAGAAAATGGATTAAATAGTGCTATGATTGTTTGTATGATTCTTTCAAGACTATCATCTACTAATTTAATTAATAAATCTTCGCTTCAACAGTCATTAGTTAAGTCACTCCTTATTGCTTCACACCGTAAACTTTTTGCTTCAAGTATTGATGCACTTGCAATTGCTTTTACTAAATGTACATTATTAGAAGATATTCCAGAATTGTTTAATTCTCTTAATGCAACTATTTTAAGAATAGTTAAAGAATATGTTGATAATGGTTCGGTTCTTTCCAGCGATCAAATAAGTCATTTAATTTCATTTAAACCATTAAATTCATTCGAAGCTTATCAATATTTAAATGTACTTCAATCTCTTAATATTAAACTTCCACAGTTACATCAATTCCATTATTCTTTTAATGATGCTTATACATTAAAATGCATAAAATTAATTGCTAGATATCATGCAAATGATTCTAATCAACTTCCTCAACTCTTAACATCAGACCAAATTATTGTAAGAGAAGCTGCATTACTTAGATGTGAAGAGAGTCCTAAAGGAGTAGATCCACAACAATTCTTTGAATCAACATTTACATTATTATTTAAAGAAGCTCCACATGTATTCCATGTTCTAAAGGCAATGATTTCCGTAATAGATTATAACCAAAATATACCAATAAATCAATATATCAAAAATACTCCTCAATTGATTAATCAACTCCATACCTTTATTGAAAAAGAGCCTTTACTTCATTCACTTAGTACAAGTATTCTTTTAAGACTTAATTGTATTGACTACTCCCAAATTGATTCAATTTCTTTAAATGAACATGAAATGCAATATTATTTCAAACACTTCCCAATAAACCAATCAATAGTATCAATTATATCTCTTCTATTAGAAGACATAGAAAAAGGTATTTGTATTACAAATGCTTTCAATAATGCATTCTTAACATCATATGACCCATATCATCTTCTTTATTATCTTTTAAGTTTATTTGTGTCTTCTTATTCAGACAATTGTAATAAAACATCAATGACTGAATTATGTAATGTTCTATTTAATCCTTCTATATTTAATTATTTAAATGAAATAACTCATACAACACAAATTTTTGAACCTGAACTTCCTTCATTTAATTATGATAGAATTGAATTAATCAAATACCTTTCTAGTAATCTTTCAACTTCAAAAGAATTATCTACTTACATTAAAGAAATAAAAAAAGAGTCATTCATTATTAAAGATAGTGTAGAGATAGTAAATCAATTAACTAAAACCTTTCAAAAAGAATTGAATTAAAAGAAATCATTTTTTTTTTATAAAATTTATTTCTTATTAAAATGGTTTTTTTATTGTTTTTGTTTCAACTGAATAATTTCAGAATGAAGTTGATCAACTTCTTGTTGTAAATGAATATTTTGAGTAACAACATCTTGTAAAACATTTTGTACTTGTTCAATAACTTCTTTAACTCCTTTTTTTCCAATACTTTTTCCAAAGACATTTTTTAAATATGTATTGATTGTTTCACTTTTCCAAATTTGTAATTCTTGTTCTTTTAACATAACACTCTTTTCTAATGTTTCAATGTCTTCTAAATACTTTGATTTTTCTAATTGTAATTCTCCAATTTTATCTCCTAATAATTTAACTTGTTCTTCACCAATAAAATTGGTTGATTTCTTTTTCATTGGTGAAGAAAATGATTCAATTTGATTAATTCTTTTTTTCTGATCTTCTTTTTCTTTTTTATTTCTTTCTTCAGCAGCTCTTGCTGCAGCAAGAAGAACTGAATATTTATTATTCATTTCAGTTATTTCAGTTATTTCTTTTTTAGACTTTTCTAATTCATTTTGTAATTTAGTAACTTCTAATTGTAATTTTCCAAGGCTTGCATTTTTATTACTTTTCATTTCATAAATTCTTTGTTGCATAATTTCTTCACTTTGTTTCATTTTCATTTTTAAATTTTCAATTTCATCGTCTTTTTCTTTAATATTTTCTTCTTGTATTTTTATATTCTTCTTTTGTTCTTCAATTTCATCTTCATATTTCTTTTTTTCATCTTCTTGTTGTTCTTTTATTATATTTATTTCTTTTTTTAATTCTTCAATAACTTCATTTAATTGACCCTTTTCTTCTTCAGTTTTTTTTTCATCTTTTTTATTTAGATTCAATTTTTGAATTATTTCTTCTTTTTCTTTTTCATATTGTTCTCGTTGAACCATAACTTCATCTAATTTATTTTGTAATTCTCTAATTTTTAATTTATTTTCTTCATTACTTCCTTTCAAAAAATCATTTTCACATTGAAGTTCTTCAAATCTCATTTCTAAATTACAATTTGTAGTTTTAATTTCATTCATCTCATTTTCTATATTCGTTGACATTTTCTTTCCTGTTTCTAATTCTTCAATATATGTTTTTAATTCACTTATTTCATTAGTCATATCACTTACTTTAACTTGTAATTCAACTTTTGCATTATTTATTGCTGCATTATCATTTTGTAATTGTGTTCTTTCTTTTTCTAATGTTTCTGTTGATTTTTCTAATAATTCTCTTAATGTAATTTCTTTTTGTTTTAATTCTTCATTTTCATTTTTCCATTCTTTTTCAACTTGAATTCTAACATTCTTTTCAGTTTCTTCTTTAATTTGTTGAATTTTATTATCAAAATTTATTTTGAATGTTTCTTCTTTTTCTTTTAATGTTTTTTCAAGTTTTTCATTTGCTTCTTTATAATATTTTTCTTTCTCTGTACTTGCTTGAATACTTTGTTGCATTTCATCATATTTCTCTTTTTCTATAAATATTTTCCCAACACGTTCATTCTCTAATTTGACTATTCGTTCCATTAATTCTGAAACTTTTGACTGTTCACTTATTTCATTATCTCCACAATCTATTATTTTTATTAATTCATCTCTAATTTCTTTTATTAGTTCGGGTATTATTATTTGTAAGTTTTGTATCATTGTTGATGCTTCTGAACTTATTTCTCCTGATAATGGATCTTTATTATCTTTTTTTATTTCTTCGAGAGATTTCTTTGTGATACTTTCTTTTGTTTCTTCAATTTTTTTTTCTAAATTGTTTTTTACTGCATCCCAATTCACTCCTGAAGTATTTAAACTTTTTTGAAGGTCATCAATTAATTGATCCTTCTTTTTAATTTCTTCTTCTAATTGATTGTTTTGCTCTAACAACATTTTTGTATTTTCTTTCATTGTAGCAAATTTTGTACTATATTCTTCAGCCATTTGTTCTTGAATTTCATTAATTAATTGTGAACGTTCAGCTTCTTGTTGTGCTTCATCTTTCTTTCCAAAAAAAGATGTTTTTTTACCTTTTTTTAAAGTAGCAATTTGTTCAGTGTATTTCTTTTCTTTTTCTGCCCATTCTTTCTTCTCTTTCTCAAATCTCTCCCTTTCTTTATCTATCTTCTTGTCCATTCAACTTGTTCTTTTTAAAAGTAGATTCCTCATTTTTTTTCAAGTTCTTTTGCCCTTTTATCATTACTTATAATAACACTTTTATTATTTTGTTATATAAAACGTTTTAATTTTGTTTTTTGTTTTTTTATATTGAATAATTTTAGAAATAGATTTTTTATTTTTAGATAAAGAATGGTATTTAAAAAATAAATTTTAATTATATGAAATGAATGGAAATTATGATGACACAAAAATAAAAATAGAAGAATAGAAATCAAGAAAAAAACCTTAAACCAAGAAATATTAAAGAAAAACATCTTAAATAAAACACTTTAAAAATAAAGAAATAACAAAAATAAAAAGAAATGTAAAAAAAGATTTAATCTTTTATGATTTTTGGGAGTAAAAGAAAGTTTGTAAATAAAAGAGAAGTTAAAAAAAGAAAAAAGAAGAAACGGAAACTCTTTTTAATTCATTATGAACTTCTGTATTTTCAATATCGAAAATGTTAGTAGTTTATATAATGAAGATTACTTTCCTAATAGAAGAAGTCACATTATTGAACTCATTCATGAAATATTAAAAGCTAATTATTTTAATTCTTATGCTGTAGTTTTATCAGACAAATTTTCAACAATGTATATTGCTCCAACCAATGACTTTAGTGCTATTGATTCTTTATATAACCTTAAACCAACTTCAGAACAACCTCATCATCTACGCTGTTTAAGAAAATCACTATTCATTTCAAAACAACAACACTGTCACTCAGTCCATATTGTTTCATTTATTACTTCTGAAGAAGCTTTATCTGATGTAGTTTTAAGACAAACAGAACTTCAAACATTACGTAGTTATCACGTTCAATTTGTTTTATTAGGAGATGTATTAAATCCATTAAGCCATACCCGTTCCTTAGTTCGTTCTTTGGTTAAACGACAAAGTCGTGGATGGGGAGTAACTGAAAACGATTTAACAAAAACAAATCCTTATGAGCGTTTAATGATGAGAATGTCTGAAGGCATTATCATTTTGCCTCGTCGTAAAGTATTAAAACAATTACCTCATATGAGAGCTGGACAAGTTCCGTGTGAAAGTAAAGCTGGCAAATTTATTTCATGTAAAGTAATTACACATATGACAAATGATACAGTTTCAATGATTCCAGTACCAATTATTTCTAAACAAAAGAATTTAAGCACTATCAGATGTGGTAAATCAAATATAGTTGATGGAAAATGTGTGTCTTCAGAAGAACGAGGAATGCTTTTCTTGGTTGAATTATCTCCGATTTTATTTAAATTGATTTGGAAAACCGAAAATGAGATAGACCATTTGACAATATTTTATGGTGAGACAAGTTGTAAGCAGATAAAAAAAGGTAAATATAACTTCTTAATTTTTGAAGGTAATAAACCAAATGGTAGTCTTACTAAAACAATTTATTGGACTACTTTGGATACAAAAGAATTTTGTACGGTTTTTGAAAAAGCTATGAGTCAAGATGTTCCACAAAATTATATAAAAATTATGCAAACTATTTGGAATGATAATAAGAAGACATTAAGTAGTATGGAAGAAAAATATATGAGTATGAAGAGGGAAAAAGAAATTGTGAACAAAATGGATGAATATGTAAAAGGTGTTCCTAAAACAGAACTAAATAGAAAAGTAAGAAATGAAGCTGATAAAAAAACAGAACCAAAAGAGCCAAGTACTAATTAATAAATAAAATGTCCAAATTTTTTGCTAATCATTCACGTACATTTATTTTTTTGTTATTTAATAACTGGTTAATTTTGTATTAGGAAAAGAATAATAAAATAAGCACTTAATTAAATGTTAATAAACTCTATTTTTTTTATTCCTTGTTCAAGTGAGACAAATCCTGTCTTTTTATCTTATTTTTTTTATTAGGAAAAGAAAAAGAGAAAAAAATAACAAAATAAAATAATAAAAATTTTATTAAAAATGTAATTTTTATTTTGAAGAAAGGAAAAGAAAGTCAAAAATTTTGTTAAATAAAATATAAATGAAACGAATACGATTAAAAGAAGTTAAGGAATGTTGAGTCATACTAACGTAATACAGAAAAGAAGAAGAGATCTTGAAATTAAAAAAGGAATAAAGAATGAAATCATTATTAAAGAAGAATATTAAACAAGACTATACCATTGAATTTAAACATATTAAAGGACTAGATATTGGAGACAATATTGAAGTTGTTTTAAAATGGAGAAGAGGTGATAAAAAAGAAAATAAAGGAACAATAGAAAAGGCATTAGTACATAATGGTGAAATTATTTATTCACCAGTTCAAGTTGTTCATATTCATTGTACATTATTTTTAACAAAAAATGGTTATGATGAAAAAGGACTTGAGATTTCTCTTCATACAACTGGAAAGAAAACTAAAGAACTTTGTGAAGGATTTATTGATTTAGCTAAATATGCAGATCTTAATGGTGCTTCAAAAGATCTTTCTGTTAAACTTATTGGTAAAAATCCAGCCATTGTTGAAATGTCTATTTCTTCTCTTCTTGGTGAGGCTGGTGGTAGCTCAGATGAAACAGAAGTATTACAAATGAAAGCATCTGCAACTACAGATATTCATGAACTTCTTGTTCAACAAGTTAGTAAAAAGCAAGAAGAAGATGAAAAAGAAGAAGAACTTGAAGAAAAACAAAGAAAACAAAAAGAAATTGCTGAACGAGAAGAAGCAGAGCGTCAAAAGAAACTTCAAGAACAACAACAAATTAGAGAAGCTGATATGTTTGCTGCAGCAAGTTCTTCTGTTAAAATCAAAGGAAAAAAAGAAAAAGATACAAAAAAGAAATTTACACAAGAAGATTTAGATAAGGCATGTGAAAAAGCTGTTCGTGAAGCTTTAAAAATGAAAAAAGAAAAGTATCATAAGATTAGGGATGATTTACAAAATCAACTTAAAAACACTACTGAGTCTTTAACTCAACAAAAGGTTTGTTTTTATTTCTCCATCACCACTTCATAATATAACTCTCCTTCTACACTCTCATATAAATAATAATCTCTTTTAATTTCTATAACCTCAATTCTTTTTATTCAATTTAGCAAAAATAAGTTGAATAAACAAGTTTATATTCACTCACATCAATTCAATAAAAAAAGAAAAAATAGGTTGGAAATACTCATTTTTATTAGGAAAATGCTATAAAAGAAAAAGAAAATGAAATAGATGAATTAAATAAGAAAATTTCTTCTTTAGAAGAAGAAGTTAAAGAAAAAGAAACATTAAAAATTTCTTTAGCAAATGCAGAAAGTAATGGAAAACAACTTTCTGAAGTAATCGAAAAGAATAAGATTGAAAGAGAAGAAGAAAAGAAACAAGTTGAACAACAACTTGAAGAATTAAAGAAAGAAAAGAAAGAAGAAGAAAATAAAAAAGAAGAATTAAAGAAACAATTAGAAGAAGAACAAAAAGAAAAGAGTAATATTAAAGTTGCATTAGCAGCATCTGAAGCTGTTGTAGTAGGATTAAAAGCTGAAGTAGAAAAGAAAGAAAATGAAATTACAGAACAAAAGAAGAAAGATGAACAAGAAAAAGAAGAATTAAAGAAAAGAATTGAAGAAACAGAAAAGAATGCAGCTGCAGGTTCTGAACAAATTTTAAATCAGAAGAATGCAGAAATCGAACAAGTTAAAAA